TCAGTGATTACAAACCAAAGGATATCGCGATTAGAAGACCAGATCAACTTGCAAGGGAACAGAAGAGGATTGAAGATTTGAAGTTGGAGGCGATGAAGGCAGAGGAGGAAAAGGCTCAAAGAGAGATTGAGGAGTTGGAGAAAAAGATTAAGGCAAAGGGTAGATCATGAATATTATCAATGGCAAAGTAGATACGATACGCAGGTAGATTGTATATTATAGATTACTATTGGGATTTTCATCATTCTGTCCGTTGTGTTTTGATATTTTACGATCAATGGATATTCATTTGGCTTCATTTTGTGTTGATTCTCTCCGGAATATGTAGCATCTTCTACACCTCGAATGTCATGAAAACACTGAATATATTCGCATTTCACCTTCTCCAAGATGCCGAAATAAGCTTTCTCTGAAGAATGAAAGAGTCTGGTATCAGGTCTGATGGTCTGTATCATGGGATGTTTAAATGTTGATAGATGGAGGTCGGTCAGTCCAGCTAATGTAAATCCTACGAACGATTTAGATATCAAGTATCAGATACGAAAGATAGTTGATGGCTATGGATATGTGTTTGGATATGTCTATGCATGTGCAATCTCTGTGTAAGCTAGTATCAAACACCACTCCTTCTCTATTGACATCGAAGCCCAATCGAAGCTCTTGAATTAACCTAGTACTTTCCTCCTGCAAGAAGTAGATCTCTACTTTTCTTATAGGCACCTAGTCGTTAGATTATCTGATCTTGGCCGTTTTGGAGTATAGGAGGGATCGACAAATGAAAGAGGTACTCGAGATTCCATGTGATTCACATGAGATGTAGAAACTGATGAGAACAACTTGTAGCACTGAACAAAAGATACATACTAGTAGATTTTGGTTTCCCGGGGAATATTGAAATTCGAAGAAATTGAAAATCTAGAGTGTTTTTTCTTTCTTTCTTCATGAACTTACTTTTTTATTTGTAGTTCTGATAGAGATATGCTACCGTCAGCGAAGCTGAGAATTAGAGTGTTGAGGCTGGAGAAAGAGCAGCTGGCAGTGGGAGTCTCATATTTCCTCGCAGGAGACTATAGTTTCTTACTTACTCGTCCCGTCCGGTGATACAATGTATGTAACCCTGAAGCTGGATGTATATATCACAAGATGGTGGACTATAAGAGGACACATTTGGGTTCTTTTGGTAGTGGGGTTGCTTGGATACTGGATGCACGCGGCATGGGTGAGTGAGTAAGTAGTAAGTAAGTCAAGGTTACTTGATCACATTTCATCCATATCATTTGTATCGAAGCTCTGTTCTTTTTCTAGGGTTCTTCGAGTACCTACATAGATCAATTTTTTCGTTCTTTTGATTTTATATCTCATGCATGCATGGGGGAAAGTCTTGAATATCCTGTTTTAGAACACCCAGTCGGCTCTGATACCCGATCTTGATTCTTGCTACGGTAAAGTTCGCGGAAGACAAATCACGAGGAGAAAAGTTACATACATACAATACAGTACATTCGTTCTTGAGCTCGCTAAAAAACAAAATTAATCTGCCGGGCTGAAAGTTGGTCTACCCGCTCACAATGCTAGAGAATGATGAATCAAGGATATCGGCGTTATCTCCGAATGCCATCTAGGAGCGGATGAGGGCGCCCCAATTGGGAAACATGCTGTGTGATCAATGCAAATACCGGGGAGGTGAAACAATGTGAAATCTTCTTGTACGAACGAAGGATGGACGATGGATGGGTTTGTGTAAGGGGTACATCCGCTCTTGGCCAGGTGGAATTCTATCGGATTGCTGCTGGGAATCATGTGTTTGGGAAGATCGGCTGGAGTTTCCCTATTGTTCGCACTTGCATTTCGTGCTTTTGTGGAGAAGGGGGTGTGCGATGGCAAAATGGTTATGATTGTCAATTGACGGGCGGTGCGGATGGGAGGATCTAGATCCCTAATGTTTGTCTCAGGTGCCGATGAATAGCTCGAACGGTACTTGTTGAATTTCGGTAGATAGGTGTAGAGGAGATAATCGCCGATATATTTTATTTTCCATGCTGTACATTCACAGAGAAGTATGAGTTGGAGGATCAGTGTATAGCAGTTCGGGAGATGGAAATGGCAAAATGGTCATGATTAGCTCAAATTTTATTCATAACTAATGCATACATACTCGAGTACATAAATATGGTATCTCTTCATCTAAACAAGCCAAATCATCGATGCCAATTGCTGACACGCTAAACATCCGAATCATTCACGCTAATCACACCTCATCATCCCTTATGCACCCAATCCAAAAATTCGCTCCAAAATCTCATCATCACTTGGTCCATCACCCTTGATAGTCGCATAGGCTGGAGCCAAGATACTCTGTTCGATCTCGGTGACACGTCCATCAGATACGTATAAGATATCTCCTTCTCTATCAGTTGTAGTCATCAAGAATGCTGCGCTTCTAGCTACAACATCGCAAGATTGCGCCTTGTGGGAAATGGCAGCCATGATACCATCGAGATTAGGCAAAACCTGGGTGGAAGTCCAGGAAGGTGCGAGGGTGTTGACTCGAATGGGGAGTTTTGCTGCTTTGATGGTGCGTTGGATTGAGCGGCCGAAACCGAGGACTCCTGCTTTAGCTGCGGCTTGGGGGTTGTTAGTTTGTTGTTCAATTTTGGGGAATTGGGAGAAGGGGAAGGTATCTTACAATAATCAGGTGCTCTCAAAGGTTGTAATCCAGTACTTGATCCCATGAGTACGATGTTTCCTCCCTGAGCATTTTGCTTCAAATAGTGGATTGCCAAACAAGCGGTATTGACTACGCTCTTGAAGTTTACTTCCAAGACTTCATGGACGGGTTCCTTGAGATCTCCATTCTCGTCGGTCTCGAGGGCGATATAGTTTCCTCGAGGACCGATTCCAGCATTGGCGAATACATAGTCGATGTGGGAGAATTTTTCGACAGCGGCTTTGAAGAGAGCAGCGAGGGAAGACCAGATGGCTACGTTTGTTTGGACGAAGAGGAAGGAGGGGGAAGAGATTGGTGTGGGTGGAGGGTTGATGTCTGCGCTGACGACGGAGGCTCCGAGGGATAAGAGGAGGTCGATGGTTGCGAGACCAATTCCTGAGGAACCGCCTAGAATGAGGGGTTTTACGTGAGTATGAGGGGTTGTGAGGAGTAGATGTAAGGTACGCAGGTGAGGGAACTCGTCTACGTGGTATTGATGTACGATGAATGTAACGTACCTGTCACAATGACAACCTTGCCTTTAAGACTGGCTAAATCCTCGTTTTGGATAATGATTTCAGACATGATGTATAAATGTATATGTATGCGATTGGTGTCGTTTCTTGTGAATAGTACAATATGATAGATTTTGGTACAAAGGAAGAACTATGGGAAAATCGCAATTGATATGATAGGAAACCCTCAAGGACAACAGCAAGCTTAAACAACCCCTCAAAGCTCAACATGACAGCTGTTAGTGGGGCACTGGTCCCTCACTAGTAGAACTGGTCTACTCTGTATACATTTGACACATTATGCGGAACCTCGGGCTGGCCCTCTTAGGAGGATACAGCGCCGTAGGCTACGAATTAAATGAATTTTCGGGTGGAGCGAATTAAGATTAGGTTCATGGGCTACGAAGTCTTTCGAGCGAGGAAATTTGAAAACATGTGACTGAGATCTCCGACTTGGAGAAAAAAGTTGGATTCTGAAGCTTCAGGGTTATGTTAACCGACCTTGAACCAGGGACCGAATGAATTTCAAAACAAATATCGCCGATATACATACGCATGTGGAGCTTTTAGTCGCTTAGGCAGAGTAATAATATATTTCATATTGGAGTTCTAGGGCTCCACGCAAGTTGTGCGTGCGTTCATGGATGTCCCCCATGCTGTTTATTTTTTCTGTATCAATTGTGTGGAAAACCGTTGGAGATGCTGTTTGGAATGGTCGATCTTACTGTAAATGTAACTGCCGCGGCGAGGGACTCTGTGAACATGTATCCCAATTTTGTTAAGATTTGACTTGGATAGGAGCTCTTGTCAACGATTTTAAAAGGGAAACTCGAAGAACATAGTCCCTGGTGTCGATGAAGATCATGATTCATGAGCCGATTCTCCAATGGGAACACATGGAAATGATATTTAGCGTAATTTTGAGAGTTTTTTGCTCCGAACAAGCTTTAAGCGGAGGGGATGCTGCGATTCGTTACATCTTGAATTGGTGGTCTGATGCTAATGACCTGAGTCTTGACAGTCTATTGTTCACGATTCCATAATTAATTCAATAATGGCTATCGATTTATACACTACCTAGGTGTATACTCAGAGAAAAGCTTTGAATTATGAACATAGTTCTGGAACTAAAAAGGAATGGAGCGCGGATGAGAAATGTATCGCCGGTAGTTCAACTCATTAGTGATATATCAGTTCTCAGTCAGGACGCCGTCAAGACACGACTAATCAACTCTGCATTACCCTATCATAATAATGAATCTCTCGAACACTAGGTTTTCCTTCCACTCTAGACTTTATCCTTCCAGATATACCAAGTGCACACCGTACATAAAAGTAGGTATCACACCCCTACCAAGCTCCCACACTAAAGAAGTAAAGAAGCTCAGAACTTGGTCTCGGGTCCACCACAAATCGAGCCGAGCGAGGGCACGTAGAATTCTTCATATGAACAATCCCAAAGAGGAATGACATGAGCAACGTACCCATATGATTCGAGCCAGGAAGTCTCGAATTATGTTTTCTCGGGCACTTTCCACCCTATCAGCATGCAATGCACGCGCAGGGAATGTCCTAAAGTATCACGAAGGGGAGGGATCTGGAATGAGATTTTTTGATCATTATGATCTATGGAGATATATCAAGACTGGGAAGGAAACTAAGTGCTAAGTAGATAACTACTGCACTGTACTTTATTTTCGCATTCGTGAGATTGGATTTCTAATATGCATGCGTATACTTTCCATTCTTAGTATCAGTATCTGTATCAGTGTGGTCTTTTTTTTTTTTTTTTTTTGCACGTTTGGTTTATCTTATCTTACGATTCTTACATACCTGCCTACTTTGTTTGTTCGGTGTGATTATCGAGCTTGATCTTGAGATCAGCTGGTTGGCGACAAATCGACGGAGTGTGACGAGAGCAGAACCGCAAATATGTCGAAGATCGCAGGGGATGGAGTCGCATTATTTTGGACCTCGATTTTGTTGCTGGCGTTGTGCTGGATTACTTTTTCCATGCGTGCGGGTGTGAGGTTGTGGAGGAAAATTTGGGGATTGGATGATATTGTTATGTCGATTGGTTTGGTATGTTTTCTTTTGTGTTCCCTTTCTTGACTTCTTCAAAAAGTGGGTGTGTTTGGGGAGAGAATTTGATGCTAATACGGTAATGGATGAGTAGTTGCTATTTACTGTCACGAGTAGTCTGTGTATTGTGTGCAGTTTCTATGGAAGTGGCCAGAAGGCTAAATACTTGAGTGCGCATGATATTGCGAGGGGGACCAAGGTATTTACTATTTATTATTTTCTCTGAGGATCAAGTTTCAAGATTTCTACCATACTGATAATTCCATAGCTCTTCTTCATTGCTGAATTCTTCTACGCTACTGGTGCTGTAGCTATCAAATGCAGTATTGCTGTAACTCTCCTCCGTATCGCTGATACCCGTCGTCGCTATGTTTATACCGTCTGGGGTATTATGATCATGACCGCTATCTCTGCCCTTATTTTCATGATAGGCATTGCGAATATATGTCATCCGATTAATACGCTATGGGGAGAATCAAATGGCGTGTGTAATTTGCAACTGAACAGTGATGTTAGTTTGTTCTTTTCGGCCGTGGAAATCGCAACGGATTGGGCATTAGCGATTCTGCCGGCGGTATTGTTGAGGAATATTCAGATGAAGAGTAGAGTCAAGGTGTCGGTGGCTTGTATTTTGGGATTGGCTGCTTTGTGAGTTCTCTTGGTTTCTTGGGTATTTTGAAGATGGCTTGAGACTAATTCATCTTCAGTGCAAGCTGTGCAACAATCGTTCGACTTCGCTACCTATCACTCTACAGTGATTCCTCCGAATTCATGTTCGGTACCGGTCGCATAGGACTCTGGTCCGTCATCGAAGAAGCAATGGGAATCTTCGCCGGATCTCTCCCTGCCCTTCGTCCTCTCTTATCCCTTCCCTTCCTCAATCTCAGTACTACCGGAAATTCCAACAATCCCACATCAGGAAAGAATGGAAATGTACCGCGCACTCAACACGGAACAGGGAAGAGATCGGATATCAATCTGGATACATTCGTTCAACTAGGGGATTCGGATATTGAAAAAGATGATGGGGAAAGTCAGAAACATATTTTGAAAGAGACAAAGGTTACTGTGACGAGCGCTAATAGGCATTCTGCGCCAGGAGAATGGGAACAGAGTCAGATTTTGGGGTGGAAAGGAAATAGGAATTCGCAGAGAAATATTCAATAGGGACTACGCTATACCGATCCGTTGTTTTCGAATGACGTAAATTCTCGGCTCGGAGTCAAACGATGAAGGGGCTTCAAAAAGGAGGAAAAATATACACAGAAAAGTATACGAAAATTTTGTACGATATATGGATATGATACCAGGGTGAGATATGGCTGTTCTACTTACGATGTTGAGTATGAACACGTATCAAGAATTACCCCCGCCGGCGTCACATCTTGGGGTTTTTAGAACATCTTGAGGAATTGGATCTACACAGAACAGAAGGGCTGGATACCAGGAACACGTTCGGTTGGCCATTTAATTTGGTTGAGAGCGTCGAATATTGATAGATCGAAATTGTGTTTTGCCTATATATATAACGGGTTTAAGTTCTGATACCATTGAGATTATGATTATAATGAAGTTTAATTTAAAACAAAGGATCTTCTTGTTGATTGTAGGATGTAGTTGATCAATCAATGTCTTTGATCTCGGTACATTTAAGTCGTGGTTTCCTTGTGGCTATGAAACTTTCCGATTGAGCGGGTGTGGCTCTTGTGGCTCGTGAGGTTTATCATGCGCCACAGATGATCACACATCACATGATAGCTAGCTAGACCCTACCTACCAGTATATCATCCATGGATACTCTCAGTAGTACATTCAGTCAGTTAATCAATTCCACATCTATCGCTGTCCAAGACAATAAGCAAAAGTATATCTTCAAATTTTCAAAGTCTGTATTCTCAAGTTTATCGCTTCATATCGTACTGCCAATCAATAAAATGCCTTTTCACCCACTCTCTTGCTGGCACCACTGGACGTCATAAAACTTAAGCTCACCCGGCTCGGCTCACTGAGCAGGTGCTATCCACCGCCTATCTGCCAAGTAAAGAAATCCAAATAGGCTTGATAGAAAGCAAATCTTGGAAGTGGATGCACATGGCACAGAACGCGAATTGGCAAAACCAACAACTTCCGAGTAAACACATCAATGCGATAAGTCATTTTCCTCTCGAAGCAAATTGTTTTGACGCCATTGGGTTGTCATTCTGGGAAAGGAAATAGCAATTGAGACGGGAGCTATTGCAATTCATTGCATGCAAAATGGTTCAATGGAGAAAGCTCTTTGGTTTGGATGGAAGGTTGGTGAACCCCGCGATATATGATAGCTTGGAGGAATGAGCTATCAATGGTGTGGATAACGCAATTGATACTGATACTCTGATGAATAGCGCAGATCAACATCTTTGGCGCGATGAGGCTCGTCGTCGTAAGTCTTTCTTCTCTTTTGCTTGTATTCCCTCGAGTCGCATAACGAATTGCGCATTTGTACAAGTTACAGCTCACAAAAACCATCAACTAACATCTCTCAGTTCTTCCTTCCTATCGCGACGATGAACTACCCAGCGCAATTCCTCCTCTTGAAGTAACTAAAACTGCCCTTCGTCTCCGCTACCTCATTGAAGAAGCTGTACCATGCGAACTCGAAGAAGCAAATATCGTATGCGCACATTCGAAAATCGTAACTAGGAAGGTTATTGCAGCCGCAAAGGAGGCAGGAGGAAAAGATTATGGTGCTTGTGTAGTATATGCATTGTTGGTCTGTAAGAGATGGTTCAAGAAACAGGCAATGTTGGAACTTTGGGATGCGGATTTACATAATGTGAGAGCGGTGGCTTGTGAGGTTATTGCGAAACAATTGTGAGTCTTCAACTTCTATGTTTTGTATTCGGAATCGGAATCGGAATAGGAAGTGATTGAGGGAAGTAAGAGACTGACATATGACTAGAATCGAAACGGAAGAAGATCAAGATTATCTTTTACAAAATGTGTTGTTGAAAAGATATTCGGTATTGGTCGATGGAGAGCAAACTGCACCTGCGAATGTCATCGAAAGAGCAGTAGATCTCCATGCTCTACGTGTTACCGGTTCTTCGGGATATCAGAAATGCGTCAATTATCTCTGGAGAGGATGGCTCGTACAAGATGAGAACGATCCTTCTCAATTCGTCGACTATAAGAAAAAGGACAATACATATTACTGGACTCACGTTGATCCAGATCGCATGCGCGCACCCATATACCAAAACGCTACTCAGATTATCTTCTCATTAATCTATTTGGCTTTGTATACGGGTGCTATTAACACAGTCAATCCAAGTGGAGATTTGGATATTGTGGAAATCATCCTTTACATCTTCACAGCTGGTTTCATATGTGATGAAGCCAGCAAATTTTGGAAGGTTGGAAGATATTATATTGGATTCTGGAATGTCTTCAATGTGATTCTTTATGCCCTTCTAACGACAAGTTTGATTACGAGAATTATTGCTCTTGGTCACCCGCTGCAAGATGATGATGGGAAGAGAGGAAAGTTCAATGAGCTTAGTTATAACTTCTTGGGTATGTTTAGTTTACACTTTGTTCAATGGCTGAAAATTACTAACATTTATAGCTTTCTCTGCACCAATGTTCTGGATGAGATTATTACTTTACCTCGATTCCATTCGCTTCTTTGGAGCTATGCTTGTCGTTATCAAAGTAATGATGAAAGAATCTCTCATCTTCTTCGCCCTTTTATTCGTCATCATCATTGGTTTCTTACAAGCATTCATCGGTATGGACATGGCCGATTCTAATGTCGACTCCGCTACATTCATCCTTCAAGCAATGGCCAACGCTGTCATGCAATCACCAGATTTCTCCGGTTTTGACAACTTCGCTCCACCTTTCGGAATTATCCTTTATTATATCTTCACATTCCTTATCATGGTAGTTCTTCTCAATATTCTCATTGCGCTTTACAACTCTGCTTATGAGGATATTACGGATAATGCCATTGATGAATATATGGCACTCTTCTCTCAGAAGACCATGCAATTCGTCAGAGCCCCAGATGAGAATGTCTTCATCGCACCAACTAATCTGATTGAAATCTTCTTCCTCATTCTTCCTTGCGAATGGTGGATGCCAAGGAAACAATATGCTAAACTTAATGATTATGTTATGGCAGTCATCTATTCTCCATTGCTGTTAATAGCAGCTTGGTTTGAACAAAGAAGCGCCGTAAGAGTCAAGGGAAATAGACAGAGAGGTGATGATGATGATGATACAGTGGAGGAGTGGGAACAATTGAATGGTGAAGTGGATTTCGAAGGAGAGGGCTGGGAAAAGAGAGTCAAGGGCGTTGTACCAAATGTGGAGAGTGATGAGGCGACTTGTGAAGTAAGAGAGTTGAGGAAGGAAGTTGGAGAACTCAAGGAGTTGCTATTGAAGTTGGTGGGAGAGAGGGAAGGTGGAAGCGGTAAAGGGAAGGGCAAGAAGAAGTAGACGAAGTAGTTATAATCAGGGACAGTGCGGTATAAAGGGGTTATTGGCTGCAGAGGAATACGAAATGTCATCGTTGTTTGTGAATGAGAAAATTGCTTAAGGGGAGAGATGGCGGATCATTCTTGGTAATGAATGGAAATAGTAGTAAGGAATGGAAAGTGGGAAGTGGAATTGAAGGCATTACTGGGCTGGGCGATTATAGGTGGAAAAGCAGGCGGTGTATTTAATGACCTTTTTATTGATACCAATATGAAATTTTAGCATTGTAAGATTTTCATGGCTGTGTATTTGCTTCTTGGCTTGTTTGCTTGTTTGCTTATATCTATATGGATTTGATTATTACGATGTAAAGAGGTTGATTTATTAGTATACAATTCTACTCAAGACATGATGCGTATTGGCAAGTACCTAGCATCTTCAAGAACATCGAGAAAAGCCCGCATATTTTTTCATATGATATTTTATGTATTACATTCATCTATTGAGGTTTCCTCACTAAATTAATATACCTAGCTAATACTAATGATTATTATTTATCCATATCAAGAAGCTGAGAGAAAATCTCCCGAACAACTGATCGCGAGCGATATTACTTCTTGTTTGTGATCTGAGTAGCTAGCTAGGTAGGTATATGGAGCTTGAGCGGATTTGTATTTTGTATTTTGTGATTTGTGTGGTTGTTTGTGGGAGGTGAGGTGAGGTGATGGGTGGGTATGGATGTATTTTTTTATTATTCTGTGTGCTGTGTTCTGTGTTCTGTATTCCTAAATCAGACTCATCCCATGTGTGCACACATCGGGGTTTTTATTTGTTATGGCAAAATTGTGATTCTCAGTATGGTATATGTGAAAGTGGGATTGGGATTGGGATTGGGATTGGGATTGGGATTGGGATTGGGATTGGGATTGGGATTGGGATTGGGAGTTTTAGGGGGGGTTATACATGAATCTGTTTGACGAGGGTCTCTAAAAGACACTCTAGCATTCTATCTGAGGATTCTCTTGTAAGATTACTTAATTCCTAAGGGTTGGGATTGAATTTAATATTTCACATAAATAGGTACTACAATAAACCCAATTCCAGCCCAAGGAGTCTGATAGATTAGGAAGATATTCGATCGTAAGATTGGATATATGCGTCGTGTTTTTATATAAACGGGTATTTAGCAAGCGAGAAACATCGTGAAGAGAACCCTGAGTGAAATCCTAGAAATAACTCCATTCGGTGTCGATTTCACGTTTACACTATAATCTAGTGGAATCTCACTTCCATTTCCATTTCCATTTCCATTTACATACCCTACTTCCCCCCTCCCAAACTAACCCTCAAATCCGTCTCCCTCAAAAGCCACACCACCGCTCCTCCCGGTCCCGCAAAAACACTAATCCCCAAACTCCAAATCCATAACTCGCTAACCTCTCTCCATGTAACAGGTTCTCTTGACTTGATATTAAAAGCCATAGCCCATATCAACGCGGCGCTCGATCCGATATATTGATCATATTGCAAGAAGTGATGGATTGCCATTGCCATGGATCCCATCTGTCTCTGTGGCCAAAAAGGTGGAGGGATGAAGACTCGAGTGAATGTTAAGAGGGAATGATGGGGGGGGAGAGAAGAAAAGGGGGAAGAGATAGTTGCAGGTTATGAGTGTGAGAGGGAGCAGATGACAAAATGTGGATACTATGAGTGTGAAATTGTAAGTTTGGTGGAGGAGATTGGTTTGTTGAATTGGGGTTGGTGAGCGCAGATGAGTATTTTTACTTTAGTTCTTAGGTAGTGAAGATATTAGAGGATGAAGCGCACGATTTTGGGGTTGGAAAATGAATTGGGGATACGTGATTCCGAAAAGAAGTTGACATGTAGAAATCCAAGCAGGAAACCCCGCCAAAGACCCCCAAAGCACTGTTTGATGACTGTCGAGCGGAAGGGTAAAGATATCAATATCGATGGGATAATGTATCCGATACATATAGATACTGGTAATGTTGCCAAGGCAGTTGTTTTCCGAATTGTGATTTCTCTAGTCCTATTCTTACCACCTGCAGCAGTGGTATGAGAAGAAGCGAGATGAATACAACAATAAATCGGCATGATGAATCCATATCCCAAAATTTGCATCGCGAGTCCCCAAGGAAGAAAACTATCAACTAGGTAGTTAGACCATATCTGATCAGATGGATGTCATCACTCAAAACAGAAAATTAAACGCACAAAGCAAAGACGGTTCCTCGATTCCCCTCTCTCACACTTTCAACCATGATAATAGTGATCACAGAAACAAGCTGTCTGGTAAACTGAAACGCATACAGAGAAAGCTGAGGAGCAGAACCATCTGTAATATTCGCAAACATGACGCCAGCAAGTGTGAGCAATTTGTCTATGGGAGTAATCCCGCAGAACTGTGTAAGAATGGGATTGTTGGAGCCGGGAAGGACATAGGGTCCTTGGTTGTAGAGGTGGAGCAATGCGGATACATAGCCGTTTTGGTATATGGCGATGAACATTGCGTGGATGCCGAGGATGTGGATGATTGAGAGGATTGCTATGGATATTCTGTTTGTCAAGGTTTGGGATTTTGGAGATTGGGGAATGTTAGGCAGAGGGGTGTGAGGTGTGGGAGGTGTGAAATATGTGAAGTGTGTGGAATTAGATTGATAACTGTAGACGAGTGGTTGTACTTGATCACAACCACGAAAGGAAATATCATATCCTGGACTGAAAGTCGATAACGGAGTAAGATCTATTCTTGCTAAGTCATCGAAAACACGTTTTATTCTTTTAATGATAAAGTGGATGTACCAAACCACTCCACTGGGTGTTAACACTCGTGATGAATAACACAGACGTAATACGAGACCTCAAAAGCTACGCGACTTAAATCGATTCTAATAATCTATACGCATGATGGATACTATCAAAATTTCACAAGTTCAATATCACCGGGAAAAGTAGTATTGAAGTTTGCTTAGTTATTGAACGGATCTTGATGGATCTTCACTGAAAAGCTAGACTGTATCCCAAAATGTTGTGCTAGACTTTTCATACTGTGGGACTAGACATCATGAATCAGAGGTAGATAGAATTTTGAGTGGTCTTTATTAAAAAGAAAAAAGCTCTGCTGTAAGTGCTATTTGCATCAGTGACCTGGATCCCCATTCTGTATAGCACTAGGAAGGCATTTTGTGAGGAGACAATTGGCAAATTGAGGACCAATTCAACTGGAAAGAAAGGTTGAGTAAACATCTAAGAGAATCCGTAGTGTAGAAGGTTCTCACACACGCAAACGAATATATCAATACCACAGTCGGCAAAGATAATCGTCTCAAGTACCTAGTAAGTCCCAAACATAACAAATGATTGAACACATCGTTAAGCAAATTGTCTAGCGATTGTAATTTTGCGCAAGAAGCAAATCGCTAGAAGTGCTACCTAGTTTCCGAAGAACTATCTATCGAGCCTGGATGTTCGAATGGGGAGATGGCGAGTTTGGCTTGATAGAGGAGTATAGGAGATCATTTCTGCGTTACACTTGGGAAGAATGTGGTGGGTATCACGTTGGTATCTTAGGGTGGGACATTGATCTTCTGAGCGAACTGATAGTAAGTATATTGACGATCTCGAGGCAGTACCGTACCTGCAGGAGTGAGAGCCCGATCTCTGAATTCTTTAGGAAACAGGCACAAGAGAACCATCATCCTGAGAGGTTCTCATGGATGGATACATTTGTTTTTCTGATAGAAGGAACCATGGATTTCGATATCATTGAGATGTTGACGTGATGACGGATGTGGAACGAAAAGTCACCAATAGACCGACCAGAAACAAGCGTGCAGAGGGTTTCAAGATGCATGGTATGAAGTGGAATTGTTTTATCTTGTAATCTCAAGCCATGGCAATACGTCGTGAAACCCTAGACATTGATATATTTACTTTCAACAGACTCTCAGCGGCTTCATGTCACTATGGTCAAAAAGTAAATACTAGTTACCAGTTATCTCAACCTTGTTGTTGAAATACCCATGGTCTCATCTCATAACCACGTGGACAAGTCCCATTATAGAAGTTCTGCAAATATCCACAATCTCACTATCTGTTCAAGCGGGACATTCATCATAAAACAAGACAAAATATATCAAGAGGTATAAACATAGTTTCCAATCCACAAATCCAAACTCCAGTCCTATATACATGATTCACTTTTATCTTCTACCCCTCCACTGATAATACCACCGCCCGAGAAAATAATATGTATAAACACAAACAGCAACTTATTCTGAGCACCGGTAATGATCTATGTGAGAATTATCCGCTGCGCTTCAGCATACTGTGGTATCTTGAATGACAAAGAAAGCGTAACAGATTTAGTTCTTTGCTTCTTGAGCAAGTTGTTCGCCGAACATGCTCTGTACTAATTCTCCACCTCTGATGGCGAGAATAGAAAGGAGGGAATCGGATAACTGGGGTTCTGTTAGTATTTATTCGTATTTCTAGGGGAGGAAAGAAACTTACTCCGTGCGTCGACTCATTGCAACCCTGCAGCCAGAGTCCTGCACCATTTTGTACCTTTCCATCTACTACCTTAACTCTATAATCTCTGGTTACTCCCCACTTGCCCTTTACTGGTCCATTTTCTCCCTTAACATCACTCCCCTCGCCTGTGGCAAGTTCCTCGCACCCTCGGAGAATCTCAACATGTGCATCTCTTCTATAACCAGTAGCAGTGAAAATATAATCAACATCCAACTCCTCTTCTTCCTTTTCAGCCCCCTCCTCCGTAACAATCTTCAGTCTCAAAGAATCATTAGAAGGAGAAGGTGTAGCTGTGATTACTCTTCTGTTTACAACGATAGCTGCCCGGGGAGTAGCACCAGTGCGCTCGCACTTGATACGTTGAATGTAGAGTTTGTCATAGAGATGCTCGAGGAGCTCGAGACGGACAACGCCATAGTTTGTGGCGCGGTCAAGGACAATACCCGCGGCACGGAGGTTGGAGGGACGGTTGTAGTGAGGGGTTACGCGGTCGGGGTCGAAAATTTCGTTTACACTGCGAGTCTTAGTTTTATATCTATTGATGACGGGAAAGGAAGAAAACTTACAAAGGACTATCATCACTAGGTCTCAAACTCTGACCCTTAACAATCAACTTAACAGTCACACCGGTCTCCTCTCCAAAACGTTCCCATAAATCATTGTAGATTTCCGCAGCACTTTGTCCACTACCAATAACCGCAAACCTCAATGGCTTTCTAGTCTCCTTTTGCAACTTCTCAATCTTTCCAATGCTAGTAGCGTATAGCGAGGAGTGCAATACACATGGCTTATTTTGCAAAACAGGAGGAATAATAGCCTTTCCACCAACAGCAATGACAACATTCTTCGCTGCGTGGGTGACTGTCTCCCCGGAAGACGAGGAAGAAGAAATAGTAAAGCCAGGGATCTTTCCATCTTCAGCCGAAGGCGATGAAGGAACAACTGACTCTACATTTGCACCATATTTCACACAACCTTGCTTCTCAAAATGGCTAGCGCACCAACGCAAGTAATCCTCGTATTCCATACGAGAAGGTAAGAACGTGCTCAAATTGATAAAGGTATTCAAGCGTCCCTTGGAATGCAAATAGTTGATAAAGGTAAACTTGGATCGGGGATCACGGGGTGTAGCCAAATCTTTCAAGAATGAGATTTGCATGCGAGCACCGGGGATTTGCATACCGGCGTGCCATGCGAACTCGGATTGCTTCTCGAGGAAAAGAACCTTTGGTGGGGGTAATGAGGATTTGGAGTAAGCGTCGTGGAGAGCGATGGCAATGGCAAGGGAGGCTGGGCCGAACCCGACACAGATTAAGTCGAGGGTTTCGGTTGAGGAGTTGCTGGTAAGAATTTCTTCTGGGGAGAGGGAGAGGTTGTTCATCTTCAGAGAAGACATGAGTTTCTCGCCATTGATGGCAACTGGACGAAGTCCCTCGGGCGAGTTACCCGTGCTGATTGCTGAAGGAGCCATTTTTCTATTTTCGATTCGAGGACAACTGTAAGATTGTATATGAATGTAACGTGATCAAAACTACTGATCAAGTGATTTTATATGAATGTTGATTTTCCAAAACTTCCGAGAGTAATCCGAATATGCTTTTATTCAGATCTCCTCAACGATTGGTATTGACCAAAAAACCAACACCGAAAGAATATTCTTTTTCTCTTAAATAATGCTACTCCAGATACCAAAAAATGTACTTTCCCAAGAGATACAATGATACCTCTACCACAAAAATCTGCTTTGCAATCCGAGGATTCTGATTGGAGACTCGATATTCCTTCGAAGCCTCGTGTAACTGCCGTTGAATACAAGTGTGAACTTGCCGTGCGTCCGATAGTCTTAAAGCTGTAACGGATTGGTACAAAGCCGTAAGTATTAGAAAGTACCACTGGTTTGGCGGTAACTGCGTTTGGTGGTGTTTTGGGGGAAGGAGTATGTCGGTTAAGAAGTTCAATTGGTTGATTGACGAATTGAACTAATTTGTACAGCCCAAGATGGTCGATAATTGATAAAGTGTATATCGATGACGGAATGACCAAGATAAGAGTAATGTTTAAGGTAGGAGGACTTATTTGGAATATCTAAAAGGATAATTGTAGTTGAAGGAGGGAGGCTTTGAATTATTGTCGAATAAACAGACGGTCGACCGATTTAAAAATAAAATCAAGAAATGGTTCGATATGTGATCTCGATAATGCAGAGGGAAAAGGGTGAACAATAAAGCCTAACTGGTAAAAGTAGATGACAGAACTGACTCAAAAGAAAGAAGAGTCCAGATACTTATTGTGAAGGATGTATGTATCTCTCAGTCAATAGAAAAATGCAAATGGGATATATCTGAAGTATTGTGTAATAGAATCTCGAACCATTAATTCAGTTACCTGAGCAAGAACATGGGGGACATCAACAATAAAATCACAGAACATGTATGCCAAGATTTCTCATTGTCATTGATAGGTATAGTGGCAGGTTAGCATATGTGTATTTTGATTCCAGACATGGACCTTTTCCTGTTTATTATGGGGCAGCCAAAGATCATTCATGGATGACGAGAATGATGTTGTAGGGATGGCGAATATGAATGGTGTCAACGAGGATATGGAAGGTAGATTTGTGCACGAAGTATGAGTAGAATGGACTGACTTGGCCGATTTTTGACATGATATGATATGTACATCGTCTGATTTTCTTGATATGCACATCGGACATGCTTCCCTCTTTGAATGCTACATTGTAGATGTCTTTTACTTCTTGATATTATAGGTTAGTCTTCTCGATTGCGTCGCTAGAGTTGTGTGAATGGATAGATCGTAGCTATGGATACTCGAGTAATCCTACCGGTAAATATCCACTAAAGCTACTCCAGTCTCCAACAAGCTGTCAGTGACCTCTCTGTCACCACGCGCTTACATTCTTCCGGCATGAAAAGGTCGTATGTAGCATGTGAACGTGTGTGCGGGGTGCTCGTAGTAGCTTCTTCCAGTAGTAGATGGCGACATGACTTTTTCGTTAAGAGGACAAACTAATGAACAATTCACCTCGGAGACAACTTTTGTATTTTCTCCACTTAGTTGCCAAGAGAAATTATCAGATCCGTCCCGAAATTTGTAAAGGCATGACGGATAAATGCGGAGCAGGGGAGGGAAGGAGGGAAAGGGTTGAAAAAAGCTCAATAGATACATACCAAGGTTCGAGCTACGGAGCAATGGTACAGTGATACATACTTTTTCAACACGTTGAAACTTTCTTGAAGAATCCCTTTCATTCTCCACTCACCGACATCGGTCCACATTGTTTCGTACTCGTTATCAGATCCTTTGCTCCAACTAGATGCTCCACTGCATTCAATCTAACTGGCCAATTTCAGGAACTAGCGATGAAAATTTTTTATCAGATGAAAAAGATAATCATAATCCCTGTTGATCTCTACTTTTTCCGGCCTCTGGTAAATGATACTAAAAGAGTGAGATGCAGCTTATATAGTCACCATGCAGATCTCCTAGATTCAAATAGGCATGTCCGAAGCGATGGGAAACCTTGCTCGCTCTGGATAACTAAGATTTTCCAGGGCTTTAACTCGATATGGATGAAAGTGGAAAGAACTTCTGTCGTCCTAGATTTCGTAATGTGGGATGATGCAGGTTGGGCTCGACTTGAGATGCGTAACCTCAAAGGGAGAAATGATGCAGTGGGGTCACCACGTAAGGAAAACCAAATCTACTCGGTACCGGAGAATCAGATGGCAAAAAGGAATGGCCAATTTGTGAAGTGGATTAGAGCCCTGCATTATATTATTAACGTTTGTACCGAAGTGCCGACCTTGGGAGGTATCAGCGGCGGTGTAATGATTGGTGTGGATAATTTGGAGATATCGAAAACATGGCATCATATTGTTGTGTAACTCGTGTTGGAATAGACGATGCGGGATAAGGATTGTTACGACTATACGAGATTCAATAATATGTGAACAAGTTTGTTTGCCTGGTCGGAAGGAGACACGAGCACTGATTCACTAACGATTGGTATATAAATAAATGCAAATCTATACTAAATCCGTGTCTTGACGTTTCGACTCCTGCATTATCTTCTTATCTATAAGTCGTTGAGGGTTAAATAAACGTCGTGTCAGCTGTCCCTGATTCATGCCATGTTCTGTACCACCGCTTAAATTTCCACCTATCCATGGTAACGGAATCATAGTATTGTACAATTGGATATGAAAAGCATATCCAACGCTATGCTATAGAAGTAAAATGAACAACATAACTCACATCAACCCAAATCCTGCGCTCTGATCATTTCTTCATAGATACCGCCACCATTCATCAATTGCTCGTGCTTCCCTTCTTCCACTATTTTGCCACAATCGAAAACTAAGATGCGATCCGCATTTTGTACACTGGTAAGACGATGTGCAATCATGATCGTAGTTCGTTTACGAGAGACAGTTTTGATTGCTTCTTGTATCTGAGCTTCAGAATGCGAGTCTGTAGTATGTTAGTGTTTGATCTCTTGGCCAACAAAATAAAGTCCTTTACCAAGAGCTGAAGTGGCTTCATCAAGCAACAGAATCTCTGGGTCGCGAATATATGCTCGGGCTATTGCAACTCGTTGCTTCTGCCCCCCAGACAGTTGAGAACCATTTATACCGCATTGTCTGAAATTGTTAGCAACCTTGTGAAGTCTGAAAAGAATATACATACGTCTCATAACCATCGGGTAACCCGTTGATAAAGTCATGAATCCCGACAGCTTTACAAGCAGCTGTGATTTCCTCCATTGTCGCAGTATGACCTGGCCGAACCCCTAACCCAACATTGAACGCCACACTACCCGAAAACAAATCAGGATCTTGAGATACGAGACTGAGTCGAGCTCGATGTTGAGACACAGGAACTTCCCGGATATCTAGGCCATCAAGAAGAATTGCACCAGATGTTGGATCGTAGAATCGCTCTATTAATGAGATGGTTGATGTTTTTCCAGCTCCTGATTTTCCTACTAAAGCAACCGTCTCGCCAGCTTGTACGGTAAAGTTCAGGTTGGTGAATATGGGATTATCGGCGCGAGATTTGTAAGCGAGACCAACATTTCTAAACTCGATTGTACCAGAAGGAATGGGAGAAGTGTCATTCAAGGTACCGTCTGGAGAATTAGTCGCAGGGGCCGAGTCGTTAGTAAGGTCAATAGTTGGTTTCTCATCGTGCAATTTAAAGACTCGAGATGCGGCGCCCTTTGCCCTCCCAATATCTGGTGCTAGACTGAATAATTGGCCTGCGGCTTGAGCCGAATAAAGTATAGCGGGGAGAACAATAAAAAATTGACGAGATGAATAATAGCCCTCTCTCACTTGCTTGGCTCCCCACCAATAAGCAAGAGCATATATGAAATATCTGTAAGCTGATTAGCCATTTGCCTCGCTACACAACGAGGATACTTACGTGATTGCTAGCGCAAATGCAAGAAGTATATTGCCAAGCGCCGTGTTCCTAGAAGTCTGCTTTCGATGTTTGTTGACTGCGGCCTTGAACTTCGATGAAGTTTCTCGTTCTATTCCGAGTGCAGAAATGGTGCGAATTGCCCCACAAGCCTCAGTTGCAAATGCGGAAGCGTCGACATATGCTGCTTGGTTCTTTGCCTCTATTTGAGCTAATACGCGTATCCGAAAGTATCCCGCAAGGAGAATCACTGGCGAAGTACCCAAAAGAACAATCGCGATTTTCCAAGCCACAGCATGTGCTAAGATAGCCCCACCGACGACCGAGACAAAACCGGATATCATAGTTCCGATGATTACACCCGAAAGTCCACTCAAGTGGCCGGAATCCATGTTCATAACAGAGATAAGGGCAGAAGTAGATCGGCCTGACATTGAAAACCATTCCATATCTTGTCTTAATATGGTTCGGAGGGATAGATCTCGAGTTCTCATGATTAAGGTTTCGGAAACAATTCCAAAGCAGGACCCGGAAGTTGTGTAGCCGAGAAGTGCAACGATTGCAACAATGAAGAACATTAAACAGAAAAAATCTACCTGAGAAGACGAGACAGAGCCGCTGAGTAAAGAAACCAAGTTACCGAAGATAATGGATTCGCCAATTACCAGACCTCCCGTTGCAGCACAAGCCACAAATGCAAGTAGAGCAAAGGGAATCTCAGATTTTGTTAAAGCAAAACAGCGCCGAATTATTGCAAACGATCCGAGAGATTTTGAAAATTTAGAAGCACTCTCTTCAGGTGAGTCTTGTACAGAATCATTCTCATGATCAGAAAACCCGTCAGATGAGGTGGATGGTTTTTCGATGGTTGGAAGTTCGAAGGATTCAACGTGTTGGCTTTTGTGAGAAGAATTTAGTCTTTGTGCTTCGATCAATTGACGATAAGCACCCTCAGGCTTTGACGTTAGGAAATCGTGACTTCCCTGTTCAAGAACTAGACCTTTGCCCATAACGATGATATTATCAGCAGCTTTCACTGATGCAAGACGATGAGCGACCATTACGGTAGTCCGCTTACTCGAGGATCTTGCTATTGCAAGAGAGCTCAAGATAGCCGCTTCGCTGATCGTATCAAGTGCACTAGTAGCTTCATCTAGTATCAAGAGAGGAGGGTCACCAACTAAGGCCCTAGCAAGGCATAGTCGCTGTTTCTGACCACCAGAAAGCCTCGTACCGGATGGCTCACCAAGCCAAGTATCCAATCCATCTGGTAGCAGTTCAATGAATTGCCAAGCATCGGAAGCCTTCGCAGCATCTATGCACTTCTCTCTCATCTGCTCCTCTTCCAGAGCAATTCCTTTGTAGCCATATCTGATATTATCATAAATGGTTCCCGAAAAGACTGCTGGATCTTGGTCAACCAAGGCCATATTCTCGCGGAGACTAGCTAAATTGTATTCAGGTATTGCGTGGCCGTTAACTCGAACAGAGCCCTGTAATGGGTCATAAAGTCTGAAGAGAAGCGAAGTGATGGTGGATTTGCCACTTCCAGATGCGCCTACAATGCCTACAGAAGTTCCAGTTCTAATTTCTATATTGACTGAATCCAAAACGGTTTCGAGTGGGCGTGCTGGATAAGAAAAGCTGACATCGTCAAATGTAATGCTTCCTCCTGTATCTAGTGTCTCGCTATCACAGCTAATTCCTTCTTCGGAGTATACATCGATTGGTATGCTGGGATAGTCTATAAGACTGAATATTCGCTGCCCGGCGGAAGCGGCGTTTGCGAAGGATTGAACAAATGGGCCTGCTGCTCCGATCACAAATGAAGCGTCAAGTATTAGAAAGACAATGGCATACACAGTTCCTGCGCTGCCAGACGAGCCTGAGTTGATTATCTTGGAGCCTTGCCAAAATGCTAAAGCATTTGCTGAAAACCTTTATATTGTTAGCATTGTAAAACAGATAAGATTCCGACAGTCCAAACTGAATATGGCTTCAAATATTCGAAAGCGGTAAAATATTCAGAGTGAATTCGCCCTTTCAAACTAGTCGAAACTTCTAACGAGACTCAAAATTGAAACCTTGTGATTATCAGACTGCAGTGCGGACCATTGGAAGCCATGAAAATGGGGCTAAAAATAGCATAACCTACGCAATAAAAAATACACTGCCAAGCATCAGTGCACCCGTCACAGCCTTTTTTGCCCCGTATCTCATTGCAATAACTAGATTATTGTGATGAGAATTTGTTAAAGCATCAAAGGCATCAAAAGCTTGAACCACTTGTACTGCCTTCACAGCCCCTTCAGCAATTGAGTTTGCGATTGTATTACTCTCTGCCGCGGCCTTGGCGTATTTATTCAATGTGGTGGTACCAATGACAACAACCAGTGTCATAGAGGGAATTACCGCAGCAAAAAGAATCCCGGTGAGACGAGCGTTGAGAACAAACCCTACTATGAATGCTACAATAAAATAACTGCAAGATTGCAGAAATAGGCCCACTTTCTCAGCTGTACCAGCTTGGACTGTTTGTGCGTCTACAGTCAGACGACTGGTAATCTTGAAATGGTTAACTTTAGTCTTCTTACCGGATACGTGGTCTTACATCTGGACATTGAGTCTCATAGTATGTCTGATCAAGTCCCAAAGCTCTGTCGACCATCTGTATCCGTAAACCTCGCGATACTCTATCGCCAACGATTCCCCAGCAAAATGCCCAGCCCCATGTTACTATGAAATATGCGCACGCTGTATGGTTAGCAATTGCTTTGAGATTTTGAAAGATTTAAACTCTAACCAACAGCAACCAATTGATAGACTCGGGAAACAACTTCCTCCTCGGAAGGCGGAAAGACATCAATGATGCGCGCAAATATGATACCGATTATAGGAAGAGCTGTGATACCGAAAAGTTTCGTCAGAATTGAACTACACAGACAATGAAGATATACTGACGTGCCCCAGCAGCGATTGCAAATAGTAATCCACAAAATAAGATGAACCGAGACTGAAGGTCGTCCAAAGGTCTGAAAAGAGCGACATAAGAGGATCCACGCCCTCCTGATCTGAGTGAGATCCACGATCGTTTGACTAGGTTGGCATTGTTGGCATTGCTCCCATCTTCTGTGCTTCGGGACATAGTCTCCGTCATTTAAAGATGGTATATGCAGGTTATATCTCCCCAAAAATGACGATTGTGCAGCGGCCAAAGCCCGAAGCGGCAGAAGTATCCTAATTCTCCCTAAGTCGAGACCGCCTTGTTTCTATCACATACACCGTAGATGTCTTCATATGAGATTCATCTGCTGGTTTGCGTACCCAGAAATTCAATTTTGGTTAGAACGTGTGATGATCGAATCAGCGAAGAGATAATGAGCAACAACGACGTCAAGTGATAGCCGAGTAATATTGTCGTGATCACTATAAAACAAAAGTGGTTGATGAAGTAAAGGGACTACCTTTGCCACTGAGATGATTCTGCTAAGAGAAGAAGGAAATGGAGTATGGAAAAAAGTTGATTGCATCGGCATTGAAAACTTCGCATCATTATTTAGCCTCAATCTTACTAAAGGAGTTGTTTCCCCTGAGGTAGAATCCACAAATCATGGAGGATTAAAAATATGAAATATAAAATATACCAAGATCGCAAGGTATGCAATGAAAGCAGCAAAAGTCGCACAAGTCAATGGACAATACATAATTCGCCACCAAGATAGCATAGAATCTAAGCATCATCTCATGATTTACCTAGCATGATAAATCCCAAGACTGATATTGATTTGACATGTTCAGTGACATTCCACTGATTCCAAAAAGAGCACTTTGAAAGAGTTCCGGATTCCATTGCATCCGAAAATGGCTTTTCCCAACTTTGGCTCTTTTTGGCTCAGATTCTAATAGTGTGAAGCCATCGGCTTGATCAGCAAATGGGTCGTAACTTTAGCACTGGCTAGAAATGTCGTATGTCATGATTAGCTGCAACGCTTGAGATAATATGGAGTAGTGCCAGTTTTTGAAGATATTGTCAAGTAAGATCTACACTCGTACATGAAAGCAGATTCAATATTGGTACTCCATTTGCTCCGAAGATCGGTTTCTGCGGATCAGATTAGATGGAAAATTTGCATCTGATAAGATTAAAAACCTGTAAGCATTCAACAAGCATCAAAGACCCCACCAATTTCACCACCCTTGTTTGGAACCTGTAGCTCGAGCCTCGTACAGTAAGTATGACCGACTGCTGCTGACCAGGGTTATTGCATTATTAGCTGAGAAAAACTTGAAATCATGCATTGATAAAGTGGGTGGATGCGGTTCCAGTGTGTCCAATGTAATCAAGCCCCTTGTTCGCCATATACCAGGTGACTGGCCGGCAGTTCAACGGATATTCAAGCCTGTGAGTATCGAGAGGATGTAAAAGCAGAAGAAGCCTCCAGAGGCCAGTAATACGGTACAATCAATGATGGCTCGAATTCGTGTGCTCCTGGATGTGGACGAGGTTGTTGTGGTGCGGACAGTAACAAGTGAGGTTCTTCTCTAGAAGCAGCTACATGATTAGAAGATGACATAATAATGAGGCTGCCCCTCGTTTCACGTGACTTATAGATCTCTCTCGATTCGCAAATCAGGTATGTTTGAGGCAAGGGGCGTGCCCCAGTCCTTTTAGTATATATGATGTGCGCCTCGATAGTTAAGAAGATTACCAGATGAAGCGTAGCATGATAAATTATTCATATACTAATAAACCTAACATGGATGTCCGACGCAGACATAAAATGAAAAACACGTGATCTTTCAATAAACCCAGATCTTTTCCGCCTATAGCGCGAATGGTACATGTTCCCTCTATCCGCCTCGCCAAGGATTGAGAGTACGAATCGTACTCTCGGTTGGGTTGCTTGCACTCCTCACCTAGAAACAGATGACGCTATCAATTTTGCCTATTTTTTCCCAATCTCTCTAGCAGATGGCGCGTATTTCGAGTCGCCTTACCTCTTCCTTCCTTACTACCTAGCTAGGTACTTCCATATACCATCTGTTTTGTTCCTATCACCTCTGAGCATTCACGCATGGAATACAGCATCTATCCACTTTTACCTTTTATCTCCGTTAATAGTAATACAGTGGCACCACCAATTCGTTCAATCAACCAATCCTGCCTTCTCTAATGGTCATCATTCAGATCTCCTGCTCTATGACTAATTCAATGTTAATACAAATCAATCATCTTTGCTCTTTCTATGGTAGGTTTCTCAACCCACGTGAATAACACAAGAGCTCGTTGTAGTTAATACACCATTGTTACAATCACTGTCCGGCATGAGGAAGAAATACAAATACCCCCAGCAGTGACCTGACATTCAAATAATCTTCTGTAGCAACAGGACATATAAAACGAACATATGCACTTACAACAGTCCAGATTATGAGGATCGACCTGCATGATCCAAAATGGATACAAAGATTTCGAGTTTGAATGACCCGCCAAGACTTTTGTCTGGGCCACAACTTCTACATGATTTGATCCGATGGGATGAATACGAAAATTCGTGTGCAATTGACTTCACTAGTCACGACAGACGAGAGAGGTACCGTTATCGAGATATACAAGCTTGTGTAACGTCTCTCGTTACACGAATCCAATCAACGATCAAAGGTCATCAAACATCTCAACAGCAGCACATCGTCCCAATATTACTACCACAATGTCCTGGGTTATACATCTCTCAACTTGCAATCTTACAGTCGGGAGGGGCCTTTTGCCCTATCAACCTCGATGCGCCGAGAGATAGGATACGATTTGTTGTGGGCGACGTTTCTGCGAGCATTATAATCACGACACCGGAGTTTCGAGACTCGGTTTCTTGGGAAAATGGTCCCAGAGTTATTGTCGTCGACGAGTTCCCCATAATTCCCACGGAACTAGAAGAAGCAAATGAATCACGTGAACCCACCAACAACGATCTTGCATATGTTATGTACACTTCTGGTTCAAGCGGAACCCCAAAAGGAGTTACAGTCAGTCACCTAGCTGCTTCACAGTCTCTTTTAGCTCACGAGAGTCTTATTCCCAATTTTGAACGATTTCTCCAGTTTGCTGCACCATCTTTCGATGTCTCTGTATTCGAGATCTTCTTCCCTCTGACTAGAGGTCAAACATTGGTTGGATGTGATCGTAGTCAGCTACTTAACGATTTACCAGGCATGATCAACAAGTTAGAAATTGATGCTGCCGAACTTACTCCAACCGTTGTGGGTGCTTTATTACAGAAAAGAGCCTATGTTCCCAAGTTGAGATTGCTGATGACGATTGGTGAGATGATGACGAGGCCAATCGTGGAAGAATTTGGTGGATCTGATACGAAAGAGAGCCTTCTTTATGGAATGTACGGACCGACTGAAGCAGCAATTCATTGCACGATTCACCCCAAAATGGAAGCAAGTGCTAAACCGGGCAACATTGGAGTACCCTTTGAGACAGTATCTGCGTTCATAGCGGAAGCGGCCTCTGGGTCTGGAAATGAGCAGGATCTCGAATTTCTCCCCCAGGGCGAGCTAGGAGAGCTTATTTTGGGTGGCCCGCAACTAGCAAATGGCTATCTTAACAGGGAAGAGCAGAACAGAGCTGCTTTTGTGACAGTGGCAGACAAAAAAATACTATAGAACTGGTGATAAAGGTCGAATTCTTGAAGATGGAAGTATAGAGATTCACGGTCGTATGAGTGGTGGACAAGTTAAGCTACGTGGTCAACGTGTCGAACTTGGGGAGATAGAAGATGCTGTCTACAAACATCCGGGCATCAAGACGGTTGTAGCAGTCGTGATAAGCGGAGTACTTATTGTTTTCGCTCTCACAAATGAAGAGGAAACTCATTCTGATCAAGTTCTGAACACCTGCTCACAGTGGCTTCCGAGTTTCATGGTACCCAGCGAGATCATTCTTCTGCAAGAATTTCCTTATCTACCGTCGGGAAAGGTAGATAAAAGAAAGTTGCAAGCAAACTACCAGCAACAACGTGAAGAAGGGGGCGAACAATCAAACTTCACACAAACTGAAGTAATCGTGAGAGAAATCCTGCGCGAGATACTTGGTCCATTTCCCCCAAATATACGTCTGGCATCGGCAGGTCTTGACTCGCTCATTTCTATCAAAGTATCCAGAGAACTTCGATCGCGAGGATTCAACGTTGCAACTTTAGCTGTTTTACAAGCCGAGACATTAACCTCGTTAGCGAAACTGTGTGAAAACTGTCCCCAGGTTCCAAGTTCAGGCAAGGCTCAATTGGCCACAACCAACTCAGAAATGCACGCTATGCTAAATGGCAATGCAAATGACGTCGAAATTTCCTACCCATGTACTCCGCTTCAAAATGCAATGCTTGCTGAAACTGCCCTCGACGGGATAGCTTACCGCAACTGGATCGAGTTAAGTTTACCCGGACTCAGCGATATCGACAAACTCTATACAAAGCTACAAGATCTCGCTGATTGCAATCCAATCTTGAGGACTGGTTTCGCAGAATCCTCTGACAATAGTGGATATATGCAGTTTGTATGGAAAACGTTTCCCGGTTCAAACATTAAAACAGTGAACGTATTTACGTACGATTTTGGGGTTGAAACTGCGTCACTTCATCGCCCTATTGTTTTCGAGATTCTACCTACTAAATCCTGTCTAAAACTCTTGATCCACATTCATCACGCTCTGTATGACGCCTGGTCGATAGATCTTCTGCTTGATGATTTGAATTGCCTGTTGCAAGATGAGATTCCAACTCCACGCCCATCATTCTCGGATGTTGTTGAGGGTTATCTCAATGGCAGCCTTTCTTCTGATTCCCAAGTTTCTAGAGATTACTGGAAAGATCATATGGTACACCTCGAGCTTAGGAATTTACCAAATTTTCACACAACCAAGGTTGCTTCCGCTAGATTGGCTGTGGCGCATCACTCGACTCAACTTTCAACTTTAGATGTTGAACTAGCCGCGAAGAAACTGGCTTCGAGTCCACAAGCTATTTTTCAAGCTGCATACGCTCTGATCCTAGCCTCTTACTTAGGATCAACAGATGTTTGTTTTGGCACTGTTTTTTCTGGAAGAACTATCCCCCTCGCTGGAATAGAAGATATCATCGGACCATGCCTCTCAACCTTACCGATCCGTATCGATACCTCCATAGCCTCTACTCTCCAAGATCTCGTAGAAGAACTAAACAGTATAAATAGGAAACATCTTGAGCATAGCACCCTCCCGCTTCGCGAGATCAAATCAGTCAATGGTTTCGAGCCTCGACAGCCATTATTTGATACACTCCTGATATGGCAACAGACTCTCCATAGTTATGACCACAGCAGAAAGAATGTGATTCTTATCGACCAGCTTGATCAACTGGAGTTTAATTTAACTCTTGAAATAACTCCTACATCAAACATCATTCAATTCAAGGCAAATTATCAACAGTCGATATTTCCAGAAAACCAGATAAACATGCTTCTGCGTCAAATTGAAGATGTCGCGAAAACAATTATTCAGCACGCAGGATCTTCGCCTTTCGATGTCTTCAATGAGAGCAACTCTGAATTACTCTCTTTGGAGAATAACACACCTAGCGTTAACCTTGGACCTGAGACACTGATATCCCCAGTGGAAAATATCGCAGAAGAAGATCCCGAGCGTCCAGCAATTGCGTTTGCTAGCAGAATCGAAGGTGACAGTCCAGAAATTCAATACTTGAGTTATGGTGCTTTGAATAGTCGTGCGAATCAGCTGGGACACTACCTATCTGATCATGACGTTCTGCCGAATGATATTGTTTGCATATGCCTTGAAAAAAGTCATGATTTCTATGCTTCTGTATTGGCTGTTACGAAGCTCGGTGCAGGTTATCTCCCAGTAACTCCCGATATTCCATATAACCGGTTGCATCATATCTTGAGCGAAGCTAAGGTAAAGGTATTGATTGGACATTCTTCATCACAAAAACTGTTAGAACAATTTACGGAGCAAAATATTGCTTACGTCGATGAGGTTGATCTGGATCAACAACCTACGAGGAATCTTGCTAGTTCCTTTAAGCCGGAGAGCATCTCATATTGCGTATTTACTTCGGGTAGTACTGGAACTCCAAAAGGAGTCCTTGTCACACAAGGCAATCTTCTGAGCAACCTTGACGTCTTAGCGGAGATCTATCCAGGAACTAGCGAGTCTAGACTTCTCCAGTCATGTTCACAGGCCTTTGACGTGTCTGTCTTCGAAATTTTCTTCACGTGGAGAATTGGTGGATGTCTGTGTTCTGCCGTGAAAGACGTTTTGTTTCGAGACATAGAACTTGCAATTCGCGTTCTGGAAGTGACTCATCTCAGCTTGACACCTACTGTTGCTGCTCTGATCAACCCGCTTAAAGTTCCTAAAGTAGAGTTCTTGGTCACTGCTGGAGAGGCTGTGACGCAAAAAGTTTTCAATACATGGGCTGGCCATGGACTTTACCAGGGTTATGGCCCCAGCGAAACAACTAACATTTGCACTGTCAAGCCACAGGTCACTCTAGACGATCGTATTGACAATATTGGTCCTCCATTCAAAAACACGTCAGTTTTTGTAGTTGCTCGCAATTCAGAATTCTCTTTGGTACCAAGAGGTGGCGAGGGCGAATTTTGCTTTGGTGGCTCTCAGGTCTTCAGAGGATACATGAATAGAGCTCAAGAAGAGGGAAAGATTATTGATCACCCAGAATACGGGCGTCTATATAAAAGTGGCGACTTTGGACGTCTGATGTCAGACGGATCTCTTGTTTTTACGGGCCGAAAAGATGACCAAGTGAAGATCAGGGGCCAACGAGTTGAGCTTGGCGAGATTAATAATATCTTGATATCTTTACCAGATATTATAGATTGTGTAACAATGGTTATCAATGGGCAAGGTAGTTCACAATGCTTAGTTTGCTTTTTTACGACCCAGCCAACAACGTCTGGGAACCTTCTTCCTCTTCATGTTGACCCAATTATTGTCAGCGAACTCTATAGAGTACTTGAGTCAAAGCTCCCGAGCTATATGGTACCTTCAAACCTCATTCCGGTTTCAAACCTTCCATCGACATCGCAAGGCAAGATTGACAAGCGTCGACTGATTAGCTTGTATGAAAGCTTTGAGCTCGCGTATCTTGACTCAACTACTAAATCTTCAAGATCTTCTATAGATCATCAGTGGACAGACCTTGAGCTTGAGATCCGCACCTCATTGAGTGAAATTTCAAAAGTTCCAGTAGAGGATGTTGGTCCAGATACATCATTCTTTAGCTTTGGTATCGACTCAATTTCAGCAATTGCATTTTCCGGAAGCTACGTCAGATAACCGCAAAACCGATTGATATTTCAGATATCTTGAAACACACTTCTGTAGTCAGACTTGCCGAGCATTTATCAACATCCGAGGAGCTTGCACGCGACGACATCTTAATGGTTGATACAAACTTAGGACTCAGCGATGACTTTGTAGCGTCTACTTTATCCAAGTTTACCAACCCGGATAGAGTTGCGATAAGCGTTTCTCCTTGTACGCCTTTGCAAGAAGCTATGCTGTCCGCAGCCGAATCTTCCTCAAGTGCTTCGTATAACAACCATGTTATGTTCAACATAATTGGTGATCTAGAACGACTTCGTGGCTGTTGGCAAGAGATGGTTCGGAGACATGAAATTCTACGAACTTGTTTTCTTGCTACAGAAATGCAAAGATTCCCTTACGTTCAAGTCGTGCTGCAAGACTTTGAGCTCGAATTCGGCTCTCTTGATTCTAGAACTTTGCAGGCTGCCATACTTGAAGTAGAGAAACATTTGTCACTCAACAATAACGCCCCACCTTACAAACTTAACATTCTGCATTTCAATGGCCAAAAGCGCCTTTTGGTCTCAATGCATCACGCACTTTACGATGGAGTCGCCCTGGCAATTCTTTACGATGAAATTGAAAGGCTATACAATGATTTGCCTCTACTTCCTGAAGTTTCCTTTGCTCCATTTCTAGAGCACATAAGCTCAATGGATATCGATTCTTCTGATAAATTTTGGGAATCTACTTTACATGGATACTATCCTCTTCACTTCGAAGATATGCCAAATCTGCCTGGCCAAGTTGAAATGGACACCTTCCGCATCCAGAAATTGATCGCGCAAATGCCTCTTAGTCGCGTCGAAAATAATATCAAGAAGCATAGTACCACCCCTCTCGCCGCGTTTCATGCGATTTGGGCTAGCATCACGTCTGACCTTTTTAAAAGCACTGATATTTGCTTCGGCAATGTAGTCAGTGGCCGCACTGCCCCGGTTGATGGTATAGAGAGACTAGTTGCGCCCTGTTTCAACACAGTTCCAATTCGGTTGGAAAACCTTTACAAGACCACTTATATCGAGGCATTCAGAAAATTACAAAATGCAAATGCCAACTCCTTGCCATATCAATTCACTCCTTTACGACGACTCCAGTCAAAGTTTAGTCCCGATGGAACTCATCTATTTGATACCCTTTTCATTTTACAACAAGCGTCGAAGGAACTCGACTCTTCTATATGGTCCATTGTGGAAGAAAATGGTGCCATGGATTTTCCTTTAGTCTGCGAAATTATACCCAAACCCAGCAACGATACCCTTGAGATTGTTCTTCATACGTCTACTTCTTTATTTTCCGATTACGATGCAAATAATTTAATTCAAAGATTCGAAGATTTATTACAAATCGCCCTGGAGAACCCTCGGCGTCAGATTATTTCCTCGTCGGCAAGAGCGCAGATCCTTGCCGTTGACGAGGAAAGAGAGAGAAAAAGGGTACAAATTTCGGATCCTCAACGCCAGGACAAAGCCATGAGTCCACTTGAACTAGAAATTCGAGGTATAATCGCAGGATTTACAGATGTTCCTTCAGAAAAGATCGCTCGGGATACTAGCATTTTTAGATTGGGTCTCGATAGTATCAGTACAGTTCAGGTTGCGTCTCGCTTGAGAGCCCAAGGACACAATATCCTTGCGAGTGATATTCTACAGCATCCTACCATCGCGCAAATTGCTTCGTATCTTGAACAAAACGAATCTTCGGTAAAAGAGAAGGACATTCAGTATGATTTCGCTTCTTTTGATCAGAAACATCGCGAGACAATCTGTTCGAATATGGAAGTTTTATCTAATAATGTTGAAGCCATCAGACCGTGCACAGCTGTACAACAAGGAATGCTTGCTCAAAGTTTGCATTCCGGAGGGCATGAATATATCAACAGCGTGCATCTGGAGATTCTACCCGACCACTCATTAGAAGATATCAAAAATTGTTGGACTAAAGTCTGTAAGGCTCATGAAATGCTTCGGACAGCATTTGCTCAGACTGAAGATCCAAGCCATCCTTTCGCAATGATAACATTCACAGAAGACTCATTTGTCCTCCCGTGGTTTGAAAGTGGAGTTCACGCACCTTCTGAAGACAACGATCGTCTTCGAAACCCATGGGAAATGACCGTGAAGAAAAAGGGGGACAAAACTATACTTGTTTTCACTGCGCATCACGCACTGTACGATGCCCAATCTATGCAGATGATTTTTTCGGACTTTACAAAGTTATATCATCGTCAAGAAGTGGCCAGTCGACCTAGCATCAACACACTTTTGGGCTCAGTTCTACAAGCATCTGAAGGGGCCCAAGATGAGAAAAAGGAATTTTGGCAACTGCCTGAAAATCGGATTGTAGTCAATAAGTTCCCTGATTTAACTCCGCTTCGTGTCACATCACCCAGTAATGCAGTTCGCGAGATAAAATCTTCTGCTTCACTGAAAGACCTTGAGAATAGATGTCGAGAACTTGGAGTCACTATGCAAGCAGCTGGGCAAGCTACTTGGGCGAGGTTGTTAATGGCATATACTGGAGAGAATGCTACGACTTTCGGCATGACGCTCTCTGGTCGCTCCGTGCGTGATGATGGCAATTTAGTCGCATTTCCAACTATCGTTACACTTCCTGTCAATTGTAACGTGGTTGGTAGTAACAGCGAGTTGCTGTCTAGAACTATGTCATCTAATGCCCAACTTCATAATCATCAATTTACGCCATTGACATCAATACAAAAGTGGTCTGGGTACCCCGAGGGACGGATATTTGACACCTTATTTGCGTACCAAAAATTACCTGAAGATGAAGAAAATTTGAGTTCGCTATGGAAAGTAGTCAAAGAGGAAGCTACAGTGGACTACGTCGTATCTCTAGAAGTCCAACCCTCATCATCGGGCGAAATCACAATTCGCTTATCATTCAGAGAAGATGTCGTACCTGCAGCTCATGCTGAGCTAATTGTCAGACAATTTGATGCATTACTGTTGGATACCCTCCAAAATCCAGATCATCCTTGCAACATAGCGCCCGAAGCTGGAGTTGAGTTACTCTCCATTACTCCTGCACAGGACCCTGTTCTTCCGGACTCCGTAACCCTTCTGCATCAATATGTTGAAAGAGGTGCCAAGACATGGCCAGATAAGGTCGCACTAGAATTCACAACTTGTCTTCAGCCAGGAAAATATCGAAGTCAAAAATGGACATATAGACAATTGGAAGAAGAATCAAACAGGGTAGCTCAGATGCTCCATACACGTGGAACTGCTCCGGGCGAGATAATTGCCATTTGTTTTGATAAGTGTGCCGAGGCATCTTTCGCAATCATTGGTATCATGAAGGCTGGTTGTGGTTATGTTGCACTGGATCCAAATGCTCCGGCTGATCGCTTAAAATTCATCGTGAAGGATTCTGCTGCGAAATTTATCATTAGTGCAGGCATCCCAGCCCAGAATTTGGGATCTTTCGTAGAAGAAGAAATGATCGATCTGACTGATCCAGCCACACTTCTTGAATTTGCCCCTGAAGCCCCTGAACTTTCCAGAGAAATCACCCCTGAGGATATATCCTATTGTTTGTACACATCTGGAACAACAGGAACACCGAAAGGATGTCTGCTTACTCATGAAAATGCGATTCAAGCGATGCTTGCATTTCAAAGATTGTTTTCTGGACATTGGACCACCGACTCGAAGTGGCTACAATTTGCTTCTTTCCACTTTGACGTGAGTGTTTTGGAACAATTTTGGAGTTGGAGTGTTGGAGTTTGTGTAGCTACAGCTCCTCGAGATTTGATATTCGAGGATATTCCAGTTGCGATTCAACAACTAGGTATCACGCACATTGATTTAACACCAAGTCTTGCGCGCTTGTTACATCCAGACGATGTCCCATCATTATGCAAAGGTGTTTTCATTACGGGTGGCGAACAACTCAAGCAAGAAATTCTTGATGTATGGGGCGAGCATGCTTGCATTTATAATGGATATGGACCAACTGAAGCTACCATTGGTGTGACCATGTATCCTCGAGTACCAAAGAACGGTAAACCTTCCAATATTGGTCCTCAATTTGACAACGTAGGATCATTCGTTCTGAAGCCAGGAACCGAGCTACCAGTTTTAAGGGGCGGCATTGGTGAACTTTGCGTTTCTGGAAAACTAGTAGGAAAAGGATATCTCAATCGCCCGGAACTTACGACTGAGAAATTTCCGACGCTTACTAATTTCAACGAGCGAGTATATCGCACCGGAGACCTCGTTCGTATTTTGCACGATGGTACCTTTCTCTTCCTCGGTCGTGCTGATGATCAAGTCAAACTTCGTGGACAACGCTTGGAGTTAAGCGAAATCAATGAGGTAATCAAGAAAAGCAGGAACGATCTAGAAGAGGTGGTTACTTTAGTTCTAAAACACAAAGCACAGGCCAAAGAACAGCTGGTCACATTTTTTGTCGTATCAGGAAAGAACGAGTTGAAAGATAGTGAAGTAATTCCCTTCATCAGAGATGCCTGCAGCTCGCGACTTCCAGGATACATGGTCCCAACACATTTCATCCCAATCAAAGCACTTCCTCTCAACGCAAACAACAAAGCGGATGCAAAACAACTCGCAGCTAAATTCAACGATTTGAGTATGGAAGATCTTCAAAACATGAGTACCAAGGTGCAGAACCATGCAGGATGGACAAACAGAGAGAAGAAGGTGGTAGACATCATTGTTAAGGTGTTTCCCGTCGACGTTCCCGAGTTGACACGCAGTTCGAATATTTTTCAACTTGGTCTTGACTCCATTAGTATGACTGCCTTTTCAAGCTCCTTGAGAACCTCAGGGTACAATAATGCCACCAATGCCACCGTCAGAAGTAATCCCACCATCGGGAAATTGGTTGAAGCACTTCTTGCTGCCAAAACGAACGATGGCAGAGAAAACCCACATCTTGTAACAGCTCAACTGAGAATTGCCGGGTTTGCACAGCAGCATACAGTCGCAATTTGCAAGGACTTGGCGGTTTCACCCGAACATATTGAGAGTATCGCACCTTGTACTCCTGTCCAGGAAGCAATGATTTACAGGTTACTTGAGAGTGATGGAAAATTGTATTATAGCCACTTCCATTACTGTTTAGTACACGGAGTCAATTCTGAAAAACTTTCCGCTGCGTGGGATCTTGTCGTTTCTAAACTTCAGATCTTGAGAACCAGATTCGTTTTAACAGACGATGGATATGCGCAGGTGGTTCTCAGACCCAGGGCATCTTCGGAGCATTGGGAGTCGAGTACCGTATCAGAAACGTTGGACATTCTCAAGAAGCCGTGGTCTTTTGATATTAAAAAGCAGTGGCCTTCTGATATTAACAAGCAGTGGCCTTTGAATATTAACGAACTCCCAACTAGAGAAACCCTAGATCTCAATATTTTCCATGGTCTTTATGATGGAAGCAGTCTGGGAATGATTTTGAGTCATCTTTGCGACGAATTCCGCCAATTACCGAACATTCAATATGGACCGGTTTTTCATTCATCGTTGGCTTATGGACCGCTATCAATAGTTCCCGGAAAGGAAGCATTCTGGAAATCCCATTTAAAGACATGGACTCATTATTCCTTGCCTCATGACTACATATCTCTAGGAACTCGTATGTACTCTCGTACATTTGACCTACAAGATTTTGAAATAAGACGACAAGCCTTATCGGTTGCGCCGCAGGCTATAATTCAAGCAACATGGATCTCAGCGATTCAAACAATCATTTCTACCAAGCTGACGACAATTGGGATTGTCACATCTGGCAGAGCAGTCGATTTCGAAGGAGTCGAAAAGGTTGTTGGACCTCTTTTCAACACTGTGCCCTTCCATCTTCCGGTCCAAGCTGGCACTCAAATCTCCTCAATAATACAGGAGTGTCACCAAATTAACATGGAAATGCAAGAGTTTCAACATACGCCATTGAAAGACATTAAAAAATTGGTTTCTGTTGCAGCTACAACACCACTCTTCGAGGCTCTATTCGTGTTTCAACGTCCAGATGTTAATGAGGAGCAACTATTGAATATAATTCAAAAGAAGGTCTACTTTAAAAAGTTTATAGATGCAGATGTAAGTGAATAGAAACGATTTCGAATAGAAGTCAAGCTAACTATCATATAGTATCCGATAGCACTCGAAGCTACTCTGAATAACGACAGTACCAAGCTTGTGTTGAATATGGTCGTAGAGAGCTCAGTTATGTCGGAAGAATTGGCAAGCCTTGTGTTCACGAAGATGGATAACACCCTTCGAACTATTCTTCCCGGGAACGGTAAAGTGACACGAATGGTTGGGACTGGACATTATGATCCCCTGCTCCACTCATTTCTTTCAAAACACTATGGTCAGCCGAACTTCAGCGACAATTCAAGTCACATACAGCCATCTTCGGGACCTTTACACCAATCTATGCACTCAGGCCAGATACTTTTAACCAAAGAAAAGAGTGATGTTGTTTGCAAGGAGATTGCGATTTTGGCCAAAGTTGATAAAATAGATATCCATGATCCTAGATCTATATTTGAACTTGGACTTGATAGCATCGATGTAATCAAGTTGTCTTCACGTCTGCGAAAGAACGAGATTGTGATATCTGTCAGTGGCATCATTAAATGTCAAACGATCACCAAAATCATAGAAGCTGCGACGCTGTCCAAAGAACTTTCATCCGACAAATTATCTACCGAGAGACTCGTGGACATTAGTCGCGAGCTTGGTGAGTATCTAAAGCCTAGGCTTCCTACAGACCTCGAATCGATTTTACCGGCTACACCTTTACAAGAGAGTATGTTAAAGGAAATGGTTGCTTCCAATTTCAAAAGCTATTTGACCCTCCAGGTTTTCGAACTGAGTGACGAAACTCAGGAGAAAAGACTGTTGGATGCTATGGATCTTGTTATTGAAAAGTCGCCAATTCTGAGAACGACCTTTCTTGAAGTTCAAGACCCACAGTCTCCCGTCAACTATGCACAGATTGTCCACAAAAAATGGAAAAAGATAGGCAAAGAATATCCATTTACTATTGTAAAAGGTTATGCGAGGCTCGAAACCCTTTTCAAAATTGCAGAAAACAGATTAAGAGCACGCATGTTGTCGACAGAGCGCCAATTGTTTGGAATAATCCCTGTCCATTTTGAGAGCAGGAGATTCATCGTAATGGGGATTTCACATGCACTCTACGATGGGAAATCACTGCCGATGATACACGATGACATTAGCAAAGCTTATAGGGAGCAAACGATTGCTAGCCGTCCAGATTATAGACCGTGCCTCGCAGAGATCTTCAATGCTGACAGTCATGAAGCAAAAGACTTCTGGAAGGCTACACTGTGGAATTCGCCGCCAGCGATATTTCCAAAGCAGAAGTTATCACCAATTAACGAGACTACGACTTACCGATGTGAGAAGCATTCCAAGTTCTCTCTAGAGGAAATTAGAAGTTTCTGTCGCTCTTCTAATATTACACTGCAGACTCTAGGACAAGCATGCTGGTCTTTAGTTCTTGCAGAACTCATGGGTCAATTTGATGTTGTATTTGGCACCGTGCTTGCCTGTCGTGATACAAGTGATACAGCCAGCGAAGTAAATTTCCCACTGTTCAATACTGTGGCAGTTCGATCAGTACTTCGTGGAACGGTGGGTCAAATGCTTCGGGATATGCAAGAAAAGAGTGATATAACTCGTCAATTTCAACAATTTCCCCTTGGGAAAGCTCAAGCACTTGCGCTTGGCTCTCGAGATCATTCAACCAAAGATACCACTTTATTCGACACATTATTCACATATCAAGGTGCTCGACTTGAGGATGAATCTGATCCATTATATTCGTCATTTGGTGGTTCTTCAGATGTTCAATTCGCAATTTGTGTTGAAGTGGAGGTTGAAGATAAAACTGACCGTCTTTACTGGACAACTGTTTGTAAGTCTGTGGCTAGAAACCTCTCACAGACCAAAGATATTCTCGAAAAATTAGACAACGTTCTTGGGAGAATCATGGCAGACAAGCAAGAACAGATTGTTACAATTCACGGCGACGGAGTCTCTGTATGCGGATCTCCAAAATTTCAACTTCGAGAAAGTCCCCATCTGCAGAAAAACTCCGAAGTATCTTCTGCTTGGTCTCAAATAGAAATGGATCTCCGAACATCAATCTCTATCGTTTCAGGTGTCCCCGAGGAAGATATCCTTAAAGACTCAACAATATTTCAATTGGGTTTGGATTCAGTTACAGTCCTCAAGCTTCCAGCACATCTCAAGAACTACAAACTTCATCTGACTGTTTCGGAAATCATGAGACATCTCACAATCCAGGATATGGCTGATCATTTACTTGGGAAACAAGACCTGGACTCGAATACTCCTGCTAATGTCGAGGTCGATGTTGATCTCATCCTGGTTCAATCTACGCCATCCATCGACCAGGTTCAGCTCAAGCAATTGATTGATACTTCGGGCGAGATAGACTACATTATGCCCGCAACGGCAGGTCAAACATATATGATCAGACATTGGCAAAACTCTCAAGGATCTCTCTTTCAAGCAACTTTTGAGTTCAAGTTATCTAGCGGCTACGATCCACGGCTGCTCGATTTTGCTTGGTATAATTTGCTACTTCAGCATGATATTTTACGAACTGGTTTCATTGACTTAGATTCAACCATTGTTCAAGTTGTTTACAAAGAACCGACAAGTATAATAGAATATGGTGAGGAGCGACCTAGTCTTCAACAGCGATGTACCCTTCAAGATCCGCCAATAAGTCTTTTTGTCATCACTTCACCGAATAGTTCGGGACAGGTTGAAATGCATCTAGTTATTCATCATGCTCTTTATGATGGAATCAGCATCTCCTTATTGTTTAAGAAATTAATGGCTTGGTATAATCACGCGGATACCATGGCTAGGTCCACGTCTACAATCGCCAAAAATAGATGGAAGACATTTGTTGCGACGGCAATACAGGAAAAAAGTAATCCATCCGTGAGAGATCAATGGATTGATTATCTTGGTGCGGCTTCCTATAGTCATCCAAGCCCTGATTCAGATCTCGAATTTGAGGTTATAGGACCGGAAATCAGGAAGCCTAGTCGAGTCGAAGTTTTCAAACCTGGTTTACCAGCCAAAGGTGTCAAGACACGTGCAAAAAATGCAGGCGTCTCTATTGATCACATACTTATCGTTCTAGCGTCGACAGTCTTAATCGATCAACAAAATAAGAATGATGAGGATGCTGAAGAGGGTCTCATCGTTGGTCTATATTTAGCCAATCGCTTTCCATTTTCACAGAATCTTTCTACAATGATGGCACCTACCCTCAATCTATTGCCAATCAAAATCGTGCCAATGGATCGAGATGATGATGATGATTTAGCGATATCAGAGTTGGCCAAGAATGTGCAGAAGGATTTAGCTAAGATTAGTAGAGGAGGAATGGCTAACGTGGGACTGGACGAAATCTACCAGTGGACTGGTGTGAAAGTGCATGGATGGATCAATATTGTTAAAAACGTTTCTCATCACGGTGCGAAGACAGATGAAGAAGACTCCGAAGAGATGTCGGATTGGGAAGTTATTGAAGACTTGAATGGAAGTACGGAAAAGGAGTATGAGAAGGCTCAAGGAGAGTCTGGTCTAAAGTCTGTGAAGGATAAGCAAGAAATAACGACTGGAGATGATCTGTTCCAACCACTGTATGATACGGAAGGATATGCTAGAGTGGTGAGGCCAAAGAGGGATCAGAATATGTTTGTTAGGCAGGATTCGGGGGCTTATCCTGTGAGTTTTGATTTCGATTTTTGTTTCCATTTATTGACACCCTTTGTCATTGCCCTATTCTCCTACTTTATCATTTTAAAAAAAACTCACTGATTTTTGATTACTCATAGCCATCAATCGATATAGAAGTTCGCTATCATCCCGAGAATGAAACAATCGATGTTGGAATCTTTGGGCCGGATGATATGTTTAGTCTTTCGCAAGCTGAGGAGTGGATTAAAATGCTTGCAATGTTATGCTCTTGAGATGGAAGATCAGGTATTTCATTGTCGTTAGAGGAATGTCCGGTGGGGGGGGGGGGAGGGATTTCGTTTATTGATATTTTCTGATGCGGGATAAATGCTTGATGGGATTAGATTAGACATTGTTTTTCTTTTACCGTGGAGTTATATCGTGTGGATAGTAGATTTTTTGAGAATCAGTCTTGTAGTTAGATATTCCACTATAAATTGTATCGGTCTTTGTATACTCATGATCGCTTTTCTAGCATTTTGGGTCTTGAATCGTCGTACAAAGTAGATTCTGAGGATAAACCCTCCTTTTCACTCAACATGTCTGTATCTATGTATCGTAATACATGGCTATATTATTTATCTTGTAATGATCTTCATTTAATATAGGTCTCATGTTTTTATGTAGTATTATACTTGGTTGCCTGATCAATACTCCGTCGTATGTATCTCTATTCTATAAATTAGACGACGATCACTTCGTAGCATGAGATCTATGATTATACCTCGTTGTTGTTATTAAATATTGATTTGTAGGAGCTTTATTCTGTTGAGTGAGTTATATTTTTCATGATTTGATATTTAGACTCACCAAAAAGACTATATTGATAGCAATTAGACATCTTTTCATCCAGCGATATAATACTCACTATCATCACTATCATATTGAAACTTCAGACGGGCTAAGGTAACCGGTTAGATTACCCCACTACTTTCTTCAATGATGACGCCAATGATTTTACGGACCGTGCCGCACCTTCAACCAAAATAAACTGATCAATACTCTCATCAACATTTGTAGTGGTATATCAACTTGACGTCGTCTTTCCAATACCATACAAAGAGAGTAACCATGTCTCTCGCACAATTGCGAAACCTCTTACCTCTACCAGAGGAAGATTTAAAGCAAGTAATAGACTACGCAAACACACTTTCTAAACCCGCCGCTCAAGACCATTTCATCGATCTATTAGGAGAATCACCTGGAAGCATCGAATTCATCTCTTCATTCAATTCCAGACGACAAAATCCTACTGCGAAAGCCACTCCACCACAGGCACAAACATACTCACAAGCTTCAGCACAATCTTCAACACAAGGATCTACATCCGGCGTCCCTAAATCAACCCGAGGACCTAAAAAGAAGAAGGCTCCCATTCATACACCAGCACCACGACAAGTGCAAGAGACGTATACAGGGCAGGGAACCGCATACAAAAAGAAAGACGAAGATGACTACGTATCCCGCAAATCCACACCCGTATCCTCCTCCAAAGCCTCAGCATCTCCTAATGCCTTCACCCTCGACCCTACCCCCTCCGCAATCCAAGCACCCATTCCTCGCCCCCCTCCCTCAGCAGCCGGCACCCTGATATCTGACTTCGGCAAGAAATCCAAATCCAGCGCCTCCTCTCGCGCCGCCTCTCAAAACCCCTCTCGCAATGCCTCGCCCGCCCCAAAAACCAAAATAAACATCACCGGCGGAAACGCCATGCACGGTGCCTCAACCGTCCTCTCCGATCTCGACGCCGCAATCCGCACCCTGGAAATCTCGACCAATGCTTCGCTGACCTCGTCGGATCCCACAAAACGGAGGTGCAACTGTATAGCCACGCGACATCCATTGCTGGCCGCGGCGCCAAATTGTCTCGCATGTGGAAAAGTCATCTGTGTGAAAGAGGGACTGGGTCCTTGTACTTTCTGCGGAGCAGATATCCTAGGGAAAGATGAAATACAATCCATGATTCGCACATTGCGGGAAGAGCGCGGAGTGGAAAAACAACGTCTAGACGCCTCATCGCATCGCCGCGCCGAGGTATCCCGTACACCTGCGCCCTTTTCGGCACCCAAAACCAATGATATGACGCCTGCGGAACAAAAAGCAAAGGAACATCGTGATAGGTTACTGGGGTTCCAGGCCCAGAACGCGAAGCGTACAACGGTTCGAGATGAAGCTGCGGATTTCGATACGAGTCTTGCGGCGAGTGTGGCGGTCGGAGGAGGAAGTGGGATGGGGGGGATGTGGGCGAGCCCGGCGGAGAGAGCGAGGGAGTTGAAGAGGCAGCAGAGGGTTTTGGCGGAGCAGGAGTGGAATGCCAAACCGGAGTATGAGAAGAGGAGACAGGTTGTTAGTGTGGATTTGGTGGGCGGGAAGATTGTGAAGAGGATGGCCAAGATTGAGGCGCCGAAGTTTGAGAGTGAGGGGGAAGAGGAGGTGGAGGATTTTCAGGCGCTGGAAACTGCGGGCGCGGGAAATGTGGGAGGAGGCACGTTTAGTAGAAATCCGTTGTTGGGGGGTCTAATTAAGCCTGTTTGGACCGCGAAGAAGGTAGAGGGAAAGGGCAAGGAGAAGGAGACTGAAGGAGATGGTGGTAATAGTGAGGAAGAAGTTGTCAGAAAGAAGAAAACGTGGAGGAGGGTACAAGATGATATGGATGATAATGAAAATATCATATTGGACGGTGGAGCTTTTGGTGGGAGCGAAGGGAAGGAAAATAGAAGAGAAGGCGCAGAGGAACATGCTATTGGCTAAACTCGCATGATTAGACTCGTATATAGATAGACGAGTGTTGAGACGATAGAAAAAACATTCAACCTGCAACTCGTATGCAGACTTCTTTCGATAAGATGAGCTTTTATGTTTGTGTGAGTTAAATTGTACTTTCTAGTAGCATGATGTGGATGTTGGAATCCTGGTTATATATGATAAACACATGCATTTACAATCATTCCACGTTTCGAAACATTTGTCCCGCTGTGTGTTGATCATGTATTCGTTAGTCTTCTAATAGCTTTTGGAAGCAAATCTGTCTAAATTTATTTTTCCTTTTTTTGGTCCCCCTTCCAGCATTCCTATGTAAATCTTCTCATGACACTTAGATAAAGGACTCATTCACTCTCTATCAACAACCACTCATGCCTACGCACTACGCCTTCAAATCCTCCATCAACCCCTCCAACGTCTCCCACCCCTTCGTCCCCTCCCAGAAATCCCTCCCCTTCCCCATAACCCCCCTAACCGCACTCCTCGCCTTCCCCTTCCACTTTCCCTCCTCCCCAAAATTCTCATACGCACCCACCAATCTCTCCGTCGTCCCCACAACACTCATCCACAGCTCCTCCTTCTCCAACCACCCCTCCTCATTCATACTCATCCTCCACGCCTTCTCCGCCGCCTCCAACGCCCCCTTATAATCCCGCTGCCACAATCGCAATTTCTCCACCATCTCGTACAATTCTACCCTCTTCGTAATCAGAGGAATGATGTCCCGATCCATCATTTCGATAACAGCTCGCGCGAGCGTTCCCCGTTTGGGCACCCAGATACCTGTTTCCCCCGAGGAACCGACTTCATCTGTCTTATCCCGACTGACGACTTCGATCACGAGAGAAGAGAGGATATCCATATCGATTGCGTATTCGCCGACATTGGGTGCGCGAATGCGCAGGATATTGCGCAGACCCATGAGAATCTCGGGGAAAGCAGGGGGACTCATGCGTGTAGCGATCGTGATGACGTTATCCCAGATTTTCCAATTGCCATGGGCAATGGCCGCGCCTCGTTTGTAGGCCATGAGAGCTTGTCTGAGGATTTCTTTGGGATCATTAGATCTATCGCTTTTGTCGAGCGAAAAGTCAATTTCTTCGTCATCTGGAATATCGGTGGATGCTTCTTCCTTCTTGGCAATTTTTTGCAAGGAAACAAGTTCGTCGTGTTTGGATAGTAGTGCGGAGCCGAGATTGCTGTATGTCTTTGCATCGGTATCATCGATCATGATACTTTGTTGGAAAGCGATAATGGCGCCATCCCAGTTTCCAGTTTTCAGATCGATATCACCGAGTCGAGACCAGGTATCGTTGTTTTGACGATTTACAACCACGGAAGCGAGGTAGGCTTCGCGGGCCGCTGCGAGATCGTTTTTTCGCGTGTAGTAATCTCCAAGTGTGCGTTGAGCACGCGCATAGCGTTGTTTGGAGATTTCCCACGCGCGTTGCCAGCAGGTTGGATCTTGGTCAAGATCTCCTAGGATACACCAGAGACGGGGTGCGTGGGGTGGAGGGGGAGTGCGCATTTCTCCATCCCATTGCTCTTTGACGACAGCATCGGCATCGATGTCGTATTTGTCCATTTCTGCGCCTTGCGAAGAGTAGTAGAGTTGTCTTCGGACAATTTGTCGAGCTTTGTCTTCTTGGGCGACCGAATGATAACATAATGCTACTTCCGCCCACATCTTTAGTCTCTTGAAGATTTCGAGAGCACTGACGAGGGAGCCGGCATTGGACCATGCGAATGCGAGTTCAGTTTCGATTTCCCATCTTGTGGGTGTGTTAAGTTGATTGACGTATCTCAATCTCTCGGTAACCGGAGCAGATTCGCCGGCTTTGGCTCGTGGAAGGAAAGACGTTACTTGAATTTGTGGGACTCCGTCGGCATCTGCTGTTGGTGTAGATTCTTGTGTATCGGCAATAATTTGATCTACGATGACTTGTAGTTGAAGAACAGATCTTTCTTGAGTTCTGGATCTGTGGGCTTCGATTCTACTTCGGACCAACAGAGCTTGCGTATAAATTTGCCAATTTGTGGGTTTATCTGAGAGGACACGAACAGCGTATGGTAGGATCTCTTCGCTGTTCAACTTGTCAAGAGGAGACAGAGTATCCTTGAGGGTAGCTTCTGTCAACAAGGCAATCTGATCCAGAGGATGAAGTTGTGGTTGCTCATCTGGTTTCATGCCAGCTAAAGTTGCCGGCAAATTGGAGCTGTCCACTTTGTCGGACGGTGTTTTGGCAAACTCAATAGACTCCAATAATGTGTCATCGTTCAAATCCAACGCTTGAGGACCAGTTGTACTTTCCGGCTCCACATCAGATGACAGAGCCTTTTCCTCTGATTTTTCGGCCGATTCCACAACCTTGGTACTCGCATCATCCTCTCTACTCTTTGCATAAACAACCAATTGCGAAATATCAGTCTGCTGAAACTTTGTCCTCTTTCCCAAAGCTCCAGAAAGAGCATACTCAAATCCCGAAACCTCACTAGCTTTCTTCACATTCTCTCTAGCCTTCAAATCCAAGCCTTCCATAATATAAATCTGGGCTTTCTCCAACAACAACATAACCTTCGCATCCGTTCCAAATGGACTTTCCTCTACAAACACCTCATTTTCCAAATCCTTCAAATCCTGTTCAATCAAATCCTGCAAGACCGTCGAATCACTCATTCTCCCATTCATCGAATATCCACTCAACAATCGTTGGTGATAAGCATTGATTCTAATCCTCATCCACTTACAGTCCCAAGTTTTCACCCAAGAACGTCTTGGGAAAACGACCGTAAAGATATATCTTGCCAGACAAAATAATTCCACCTTGGGAATATATTGATAAACACTCACACCATCCACATCCAAACTCCTCAAGCATTTCTCTCTCAGCTCACCAGCATTCCATTCCGAGCTTTGAAAAACATCTCCAAAATCTACTGAAGGTCCCGTAACATTTGTTTGGAGGAATGCGTTAAACGCTGCCAATCCCGTGATGAATGTGTAAAGAATGACTTCCCGATTTTGAAGATTTGCATCTTTGAGAGCAAGAGTTTGATCTTCCTTGGAAAGATGAACGTTCTCTGCTAAGATTTGTATCAGAATCTGCGCAGTGGGCGTACGGAGGACGGCTTTGTAATCTCCACTGAGATAATTTGTGACAATTTCTGATACAGCTTCAAGTTCTTTTAATTGCTCTAAATTGAACAATAAAGCATCCAATGTACCACCTTTGCCGCCGGTAGACAGATCTGAGGCGAAAGACATAATGAATATATTTTTGTTGTTGTTGTATTGGGCTTCAATTCTTTTTTTTTTCATGTGGGAAAATTTATCAAGGTCGGGTGAAATGATTTGTAAGCGATGATTTCCAAACATCAAGCAATAAATACCTCGTAAATCGGACTTCATATTTCATGTAATCCATGTACCGGTGGACTTCAAAATTCAATCGTTGAAAGATTCACATATCATTCGAGAAACATTGGAAGAGAGCTCACTCATAACATTCATATGCGGTCAACTTTTACATTGATGTTCCTTAGACACTATTCCTACTGCAAAATGTAGTTATTTGCTCTTTCGCTAGTGCAGCAGGTGGTCAGTCAGTCAACATGGTAATCATGAATTGATAGATGACAAATAAGAACAATCCAGCCTGTAATACAAAATCGCTACTCAGACAAAGCTATCCATAATACAGAGAGGCTCAATCAGTTACTATCATATAATCCCTCATTTCTTTCCTTTCTTCTTGGTGGGAACAACTTTGAAACCAGCCGTGGGTTCCTCCTTTGGTGGACCCTTCTTGGCAACTTCACTCCAGCCACCTCCACTGGACTTATCATTCGATCCAGTATTTGCAGGCTCAACAATACCCTTGTCAGCCAATTTGTGGCGACGAATGTATTCCTCGGCAAAGCGACGGCCGTCCATCACACGGGAATTAGTATACACAACATCTGCAATAATACTAGCTTCATCCGGGAATGAAGACAACATATTCATGAAAACATCAACTAGAGATACGTTAGTTTGACAAATGTATTTAAGATCAATTTCAGCTCACCATCAATATCAGAATTAAGACCTTCTTTGCCACTCAAAGTAGCCTTTGTCCATTTCTTGAACTCTTCATTGGCAGTATTGCCACCAGCCTGAGTACCAGCCATAGTTACGCTGCGAGCGGATGGTGTTGGTCTTATTGTTCGAACGGCAGGACTAGCTACAGAAGCAGTACTGGGAGCACGAGTTGGGACAGGTGAAGTTGCAGCTGACGGTCCTGTTGGAATCTTAACCTTTCCAGCAGCGCCGACGGTAGACCAGCCTCCTCCCATGGCAGGAGTGGTTACGGATGGCTTGCTTGCCAGATCAGCGTAGCGTTTACCACCCGCAACAGGAGAAGGTTGAGATACTGCTGCAGTAGCGGCAAGCTTCTTCTTGCGCAATTCCTCCTCTCTTTGGATATCTGCGAGAGTCTTCTTGGAAGAAGTTGCAGTTACAGGAGTTTTGGCAGCAACCGGCTTAGCCCAAACAGATGAAGCATTAGAAGGGGTTGTAGGTGTGGCTATGGCACCCCAGGTGGACGTGGTTGGGAGACCTGGAGCTGGTGCAGCTGGTTGACTAGCGAGCATCTTCATTTCTTGTTCGTGTAAAGCACGACGAGCAGCAGCGGCAACCTCCTCTGCTTGAGCAGCCTTCTTTGCTTCGGCTTCTTGAATCTCTTTTAGAGAAGGGCCTTTAGGAGCCTCGACAGGTTGAACAGCCCATGGTGCAAGGGTTGGTCCAGCGCTAACTGCTTCAGGAGTCTCAGAACGCGATTGGACTTCCGCATGTAAGGAATCAGGCAGGCCGGAGCGACCTCCTCGTTGTGCTGTTGGAGCAGGAAGAGGGGTCGTTGATTGTGCCGGAGGGGGGAAAGGCATTGGAAGGCTGGTATTCACCTTGGTCCAAGGAGATTCGGGTTGAGGGGCCGAAATTGGAGATTGCTTGGGTGGTGCTGATGCGGCTGAAGCTTGTTGATCCTTGATTTGTTGAGTTAAAGAGAGGACCTCGGGGGATTTTGGTGTAGGTGCTTCCTCCACCACACTCTCCTCTTCTTGAGATTGTGATTGTTGCTCTTCGGGTTTCGCTTCAACTTCCGCTGGCTGAGGAGTGGGATCCTCATTTGTGGAGGATTGTGCAGCTTCGTCTGCATCATGCTCGGCTCTAAGCTGATTAAATTGTCGAAGACGAGCTACAAAACCTTCGGGGTCATTCGGCTCTGCTCTAGGGGCCTCTCGTTGAGCGCCAATGTGTTGAGGCTGGCCAAAAAGTGCATTGATTTGCTGAGCTTGAGAGGTTGGCGCACCGACTGCTCCAGGTTGTTGTCGATCTTGGAGACCAAGGCGAGCTAAGTCATCGTGAAGAAACTCACTGGACATACCCCCCATCATCTGCGACAGACCTGGTCTGGGGCCGGACTCGAAAAATCCACCAGGCATTGGAGGTTGAGGTGGCATGGAAATTGGCGATGTCATGCTACCGAAGCTGGGTTGACTTTGCAAGCTATGTGCACTTGAATGGTGGTGCAAGGTCGAAGGAAGGCCGCCCATTTGCATTTGCTTCATGTTAACCTGTTGAGCCGCCAAGAACTCCCTCTGTCTAGCCATGAGGTACTGTTCCTCTTGCTTACGTCTCTCCAAATTGTTTTGCTGCTCAGCTGTCAATGTAGTACCGAAGCTTGGGAATGCTCCGGCAAATGGAGGTTGGACAGATCCAGGTTGAACAGTAGGAGCTGTAGCGGCGGAGGCAAAAGGGGTAGCTTGAGTAGTAGGAGGTCCATGCTGGATGCCAATCTGAGGCACAAGGAATGGTTCACGAGAGTTTCCAATGCGACGAATGAGCTGACCAAGAGGTTCAAACTCAGTATCTTCCTGTTTTCTGACCGAGAGGTCGGCAGTAAAGAATGAGGCTTTATACCAATCATGCATTTCCAGCCCAGACCACGGGCCTTGAGGCTGTCCTTGAGAATCAAGATAAATCCATCGCATTCTATCCGGCATAACCATCATACGTTGTTGAGAGTTTGGAAGTTGGCCAGGAGCAGAGTCAGGTCCATTTTGGGTTTGTTGGTAATTAGATTGAGCCGAAGGAGCTTGTGGGATGGTTGCACTAGGCTGAGACTCCGCTGCTGAGAATGGCTCCTGGGTTCGAGGTTCTGGTCCATAGAAATTACCATGGTGCAATTGGGTTCGGCCAATCGCTCCAAATGCACTGTTTTGTCGGATATCTCCTATTTCACCAGAATTGTCGTTCTCTACACCTTGCATCTGAGCCTGCATGGCTGGAGGGAACAAAGACCCAAGCTTACTTCCACGCCCGATAGAGCCCATTGGGTTTCCGTGCCCAAACATACCCCCTCCCATAGAGCTATGGACTGGCGATGGTATCTCGCCCATGGGTCCAAATATAGAGTTTCCAAATGCGCTTGGGAATACAGATCGACTTTCACGGTCCGGTGTAGATACCATGTTGTTAGTTGTAGGCCAGCCCCCCATACCACCAACATTGCTCAATGACGGAAGTCCCACTAAAGCTGCGAATGGTCCTCGGGAAACCCCACCTACAACACTAGATGTTTGGCTACGATCGCTCCCGTCGAAGGCACCACTACCAAAATTTCTAGAAAGATTGCTAAACGCATTTGGTGTGTGCTCTGGGATACCTCCTAATGGTTGAGGTCGCTCATGAGAATTGTCATCGTCAAAGGAATTATCATCGTGTCTCCGTTCCTCGGGTGGGCTGCGATACGGGTTAGTATCGGGACTCAATGGCTCATTGAAATGTTGTCCTTGCGGTGTCTGGTGGCTTTGAGCACGTAATTGGGCATCTCGGAAGCCAGGCATATCAGACATCCCGAAGTCACTCGATAGTACACGGATTGGGGTATCAAGCCCTGGAGCCTTTCGCTGAGGATTCAAGGTTGGGCTAGTATCTTGACCACCTCCGAGACCAGCGCTGCCGCTAGGGACACTGTCCTCGCCAAATGGATCCGTATCGGTTCGAGGTCTAGTTCTCCATGAACGCTCGGCAGGCTGCGACGCGCTATCCTCCGAGTTTTCTTTCGGCATAAGATGTGCAAGTCGACTCTCTCCTCGAATGCTTCCAAATCCTGGTCGTTTCTCACTAGGAGTTGTCGGAGTTGGCATCGCAAATGCACCGAAGGTTCCCATTGGAGTCATCGTTGCACTTGTAGTCGCTAGTCCCCAGGGAGATAGTGGCGCACTTCCCAAGTTAGCCCCGCCTGTATTAGAACGCATCAAGGGACCAAATGGTAAGGAACTTTTGGGTTCATCCACTCTATCGTCTCCATCATCCTTCAAATCCGTGAGTTTACGAGTAAAAAACGGAGAGGACTCGTCTCTGGGAAATCGGCCAGTCCCGGCAGGAGATCCTAACCCAGCAGCGAACGGGACCGCATCACTCGTCTCCCTGCGGCGCGTACCTGGTCTGCTTGATGCGGGCGAAGAAACTGCGAAATTGGAGTTGCCAGAGCCATGAGAAACCGAGGTTTTGCGGCCATTTGTATTAGATCCTTGTTCGTTCGAGCCCTTATTCTGATTCTGAGGTGGTGGTTTCATGGGAGAATTAACGTCGGTAGTGAAAAGCTAATGTAGAGATTAGTATTGATTACTGCGGCGAGATGCTAGGTAGGTGAACTGACGATTTTCTCCTCTTCAGTCATTTCTTCCAATGAAACTGGTCTCTGACTACCACTCATATCCCAGCATGCATCTGGACCATGGGTCTCTCTACCATCGGTGACCTTACCCCATGCTCGGCCATTTGTTCCATTCGACTGACCAGGGTTCCAGCCTTCAACATAAAGTCTTGAGACGTCGCCATTGCGCGCGCCGGAATCTTTAGCCTCTCGGTGTTTTTGGTATAAATCCAATAAATGATTTTTCGGATAACGAAGATCTGCTGGAACAGATGGCTCATATGATTGAGTTGGTTGTTGTGGTACGTCATCGGAAGCTTCGAAACTGTGTGCTGGGAGATTTTCTGCTTGTGCGGATGATGTATGAGGAGCGTTGGAAGAACGACGGAAGGTCAGTGTGCCACTTCCACTTCCGTTGGTAGATCTAGTATCTCTCCTGGCCCTATAGCGTGAGATTATATTAGTACCTGAGTCTGATTGACTTAAGAGACGACGAATGTCTTCTATGGTGATTGAATGCATTTCGTAAATATGATCTAACCCCAAGAAGGGTTTGGTGGTAATGACGTCTGGAATTTTCAAACCACCGAACACCCAAGAAAGTAATTGGGTCAAAGGGACAGAGAAATCATAATGAATGTAGATATAATTTTTACCAAAATGACTCAATTATAGCAATAAAGCGATTGCAATGAATTTTCAAGACACACTGTGTGAAGGAATCAAACGTACCATTCATTACCACGAGCACTTTCGTTCCTTCCCGTTCGAGAATCGCGACTCGAACCTGAACCTGCAGCCGCTGCTGCTGCAGAAGCAAAACTTGACGGCATTTGCGAAGGCATATTGATTTTGTTGGTAGCTTTCTCTTGTTGTCACAATGAGGAAGGAAGTGTGTATGATGTAAAAGTTTTGATCGCGCGGCGACTTTTTAGATTGAATGCGGATAATGCGCACAACTTTAAATATGCAGTAAGTATTGTTCAAAGATTGTAGAGAAGGATTAAGTTATCTGTAAATGAATATCTTATGATATTGATTTAAGATTGAATTTTCTTCGTGAATTTGCGGGGGCGACTGTTTCTTCTGGATATTTGAGGAACCTCGAATTTCGTACAAAAAAAGCGAAGGAAGTTGTTAAGGGCAAGAAACGTCGAAGGTCAGTAGCTCCAAGGAGTTAGTACGCTTAGGGCTTAGCGTTCACGTGATCTACATCAAAATAAATGATCCCATAACCGTCCTTGGCCAACCTCATCGGCGAACAAGAAAATGTGAAGCGCAGATATATATGTATATATACGCATGTAACTGTGGGAAGTTCTTTTACCCCTTTGTTTCTCTTGTTTCTTTACCATTAATACGACGAAGAACAACTTTCGCTCTCTTCCTACAGAGTGATTTTGTTTTCAACATCTTCCTGGATCTCGATAGCTTTGCATACCTATATAAGGACAACTTCTCATATTCAATAACCATTCATATATCATTTACTTACTTTGTCACTTTTTCTGCTTCTATCGCTGTATTCCTCGAGGAACTGGAGGAGTACGTTCTTTGATACTAGTGATATATTCTCTTTCTACGGATATCATCAAAAGGAGACTACACTCAACCCTCTTGGTGAATCGATACTTTGATTTAAATCTTTATATTGCTGGATCTCCCATAATATTCCGTATAGCTTGCACATACATTTCTTTACTTCTATGCTTTTATACTTGCCTTTCAATTTATTCAATTCTTGCATCTTTATGTATCTATTTCTTCAACCATTTCTATCTATCTTGTAGGCGTCTGTTCGACTCCTCCATTACTTGAACCTATCGATCGACCAAATGATTTAGCGAGTTATACTTATTAGGCTTTCTGTCCTACCCGCATTAATAAGAACGCCATTTATGGTGACAAGTCTCAAATTTCACCAATCGAATATCATTTCAAGTATCTCCCGTTCTCAATTCTATTTTTACCACTTATCTATTACATCGTTCTTGTATCGCTTGCTGTATCTGAACACGAAGCTTTCCTGTATCGAGGGAACCGGCGCAAATGGTCTTCCTATGAATTAATCAAAGAATCGTGCAACATACCACAAGGAAAAATAGCCAAGCTCAAAGAGGCTTTTACTTGTCTAGACTCGGGCCCTGGAATGCTTTGACGAGACTGTTTTCGCGTCTAACAAATGATTTAGATGATTCTCATACACCACCTACTCCATCGTACATTCTTTAAAGGTATCCGGCTATCGGACGATCCCATACTTGGGGGCCAAGTCGTATCAAAATGTTTGTTTGCTCACCCGGAAGATCAATACGATGATTTTTGAGTAGGCAATCATTCTTCTACCTATGGAACTTTGTACTCGTAGCTCATGCAAATATCCAATTAAACTATTGGCTGGTCATCATACAATCTATCACGTTGTGCGGATTTTGACCACGAGCAGGTATCACAGTTTGTCAAGATTCCTCAAAAAGCAAACAAGCGAAGCATCAATTCTTTCTTTTCATAGATATATTTATCGTCAGAAGGTATCTTGACTCACATCTGGCTGTCCAGTGTCATATCCGGTATCGGTTGGCACAGAACTAGAAGTTTGCTTATGATCTTTCCTCCCTCTGTCTTCACAATCCTTTTCTTTCTTTTTCTTTTCATTTCATATTTATGCATCTTAACATTGAGTCAATATCCAAGCCTAAAGCGAAATCTTTTATCAACATGCTTCTCGAAAGTATTGGTCTTGGCAGATCTCATCGTGGTTCCCGACATGCTCTTTCACACTTATGTAACAATCAAGATTCAACATCCGGCTGCTACGATATTCGCCATGAGAAGAACGGTGTTCATTGGGAAGGTTGTCCGAATTTTAATCCTAATCCCAGACAACTGAGTCCTAGAGACCAATTGTCCATGAACAGAATGATGAATCCTCCTAGAGGATCTCCAAGAATGGGAGACCACTCACCGCCCTCGGCGGGGTTGTCTTTACCATTACTCCAACGAAATCATTCTAGTCCAAATGAAAGATATTTGGAAGGATCGGGTGGTCTGGAAGCCCTTGCAATGGGAGGAATAGGCCCAAGATCTAGAAATATTGGCCAAAACCCCAGGGGTCTTGAGGCTCTCAGACTCGGTAGACAAGATTCTCGCGATCGAAATCATATCTTGGGCGCAGCACCACTGGGTCCAGAAGACTTTGAAGGACTCGGTACAAGGAGATTGCAATCAAATATTGATTCGGATCAACATGGGACATTCCAGCACTTGATAAATCGCAATATGGCAACCAGATCATTGAATCAAGGACAATACAATCCAAGCCGTCAACATCTACACGAAGATATTTATCCCGATTCTAGCCTTCAAAGGCCTCGATACTACAGCCCCCGCACCCCAATTTCACGAAGACAATTCCAGGACCTAGGTCCCGGCCCTCCCGAATATCTCATGACGCCAGATTATCAGCCAGCCGTATACTACCCCAATTCTCCACGTCTATCCCAACGTTCTACACCTAGAATGATGTACGACGAGCGAAATGAAATAGCAATGAGGAGTCCCCATCTCCACCATAACAATCCCCACCAAAGTCCCAATCCTCTGATGCACGGCGAAATGGACAGCCCACTCACATCGTCCCGGTATGGATCTATTCACTCTCGTTCTCCTTTGGGGGGTGGAAGCAATGCAGACTTACAACGGGAGATGAGTGAACAGCGTTCGATGAGAATGGAACCATCTATGATGCCTTATACTACTCATGACCGTAGCCAAGGTGGTAGTCGAAATTATGGCGGTCCTTTGAACACAAATTACCAATCTCCATATGTAGAAGATTGGGTTAGTGAGGTGGGAATGGGACCGGACGAAATGATGCAAAGGCAAGCTGCAATGAAAGGAGGTGGGTTTTTCTATGATGAGCGGGCCGGCATTGGCCTGGATGATGGGTATGGGAGATCTAGATTAGTTTGATTTTTTTTTAAACATGGAATTGAGCTTTGGAAATAATGCTGTCGAAAATCGGGGAGATAAGGCTCGATGAGATTACCATTTGGATAGTAATATAATTACGAGCAAAACAATGTAAGCCTTGATCGCATAACTCTATTTCTCTTACCTTGATGTTCGACGATGGCCTACCCAGCAACTGTCGAACATCATAGTGGATAGCTTTGAATGCCACAAAATGCCAAGGGGATAATGACTCTTGTACCTCGTGACCACTTCCACGACCACGATTCCCACAGAAGAAATTTCGGACTCTCCGGATCTAGTAAGTATCTCCTCGGTACTGAATCGGCACCGAACGGGGAAACCTGCGCTTTCTCAATAGACACACAACTGAATCAGAACAGTACATAATTTAGATATCAGTAATCTGGCCCCTCTCATTTTTTTCCTATCATCGCCGAAAAAAGATCACGAGGCTCGAAAGTGGAACATACTGCATAGACAACACATGTGTTCATTTGTTTATACAGCAACTATTGCAATGATACATGATAGCGAAGATATATCCTAGCATTGACAATTGCCAAGAACGGAAATTCGGCATTCGTTGCGCAAGGTGGCTCGGGGCTGAGGGTTCGTGGCTTGGCAATAAGGCGTAGAGTGGCAGTTTGTCTTTTCGAGGTTGATGACGTTTTTTGCTTCTTATCTTATTGGGCTGAGTGTGGATGATGAGTCTTTGATGAAGGGGCTGGAAGCGAGAGGGTAGATGGTCAGTATTGTATGGTCAGTATTGTAATTAGAGAATGGTTTATTATTGTTCGGAGAAATTAATAGATTAAAATGCTAAATTACTCGCAAGATTACCTAGTAAAGGTTCATATTTCGAGATGAATACGAATGCGAATAGCCTAATTGAAAGTCCTACGCAATCAATATTGTAATATATTTATGAGTGTGGAAGTCTTGGGACACATAGGTGCTTGGATCATTTTCAACACACTCAGCGCGCGACCATCCACTTACACAAGAACAGATGAACCATCATCAAACACTTCAAACATACCGGCAAGCCAGCATTATCAGGAACCATGACCATTCTCCAAAGAACGGTTCTTCAAGCTTCTAGAAGGAATCTATTGCATGATTTGCATGACTAACCGGGATAATTTTGTACTCGTGGCGCAGTAGATTGCCCCTCACCACGGAACTCGGAACATGACTTGCTAATGAACCAACCAGAGTTCTTGTATAAGCCCTATGCTCCCCACTCATCACCGTCAGCTATGCCAATTGGGCTTTTAGGCCTGAGTGGCTCGAATCCCTTGCGAGACTGCAGGTGATTGATTCACTGCCCTAACTGTGCCTCAATCACTACCATAATCCGTGCTGTACTCTGCCCTATATAAGATCCTCTTACCCACCTCCATCTAAGCTGCCTACTCCTCCGCTTACATTGATCAGATCTCACATCTCATTTAATTCAAACATCAAACTTGTTGCGAACATCATCAAACATTTCAAACCTCAAGATATAATTCAAGTAAAGAAAACAACCCAAGTAAATCAGTTCAAACAGAATGTCCAACCAGGACTTTTATGGTGGTGGAAACCAAAACCCCTACCCACCACATCAGCCATACGGTGCCGCTCCACCTCAACCATATCCTCAACAACCTCAATATGGTCAGGACAACACCGCCTATCCTCCTGCCCCAAATTACTCCCAAAATCCCTACCCACCTCAGAACCTTCAACCACCATATGGCGCACCAGGTCCTTCTCCAGCACACTCTCCAGGTCCCTACGGAGCTCCTCCCCAGCAATCTCCCTATGGACAAAACCCCTACCCTCCTCCGAATGATCCATACGGAAACCAACAACTAAACGCCTACACCGATAACCGTGGCTACTCCCCAGCGCCCACTCCTTATGGCGCACCCGCTCCCTATGGCTCTGCACCCCCTGGTGGCGCACCTACCTACCACGAGCCTGGCGCTAATCTCCCGCCCCAACAACTCGATGCCAACGGTCAGCCCGTTGAAGGCGATCGTGGACTTGTATCTATGGGACTCGGCGCCGCCGGAGGCTGGGGTGTCGCATCTCAAACCGGTCGCGGCACAATGGGAAAACTCTTGTATGCAGCTGGTGGAATGATTGCTGGACAATTTCTCGGAAACAAAGTCAAGAAATATAGAAAAGATCACAACAACCGGGATGTAGAATACTATGAGGATGCACAAAGTGGACGGGAATGTTCGCCGCCAAGAGATGGTGAGGGATCACACTCGCAGCATGGTGGATATAGGGATGAAAAGTATAGTGGACATGGAGGATATGAAGAGGATAGGCATTCGAGACATCATGATCATGGACATCACGGACATCATGGACATGAACATAGAAGTCATTCGAGGCATTCTAGCCATTCTCATCATTCTCATGGAAGACGTCATGATGATGATCGGTATTAGGCGTGATAGGTAGTGGAGCGAGGTGCAAACACAAAGCGCGAACGATAAATGACGACGAGAAGTATTGGATGGAGTGGCGAGGCACCGAATATGAAACGGAAGGAATGGGACAAGAGGTTCGCCTCTGCGAAACATTTATATTCGGTTATCTCGATAACTGGATCTTGAATCATGGCGGAATTTGGCGTTGGATATGCTTTTTTATGATACGAAGACGGGACGAATGCATGACGATATTTCAACGAGTTCATTTCAGATAGTTAGCACTTCGGTGCGATATGATGGAGGAGGGATGAAAAAACAAAGTCCAATTTCCAGTATGAAGATCCATGTCTCCTTCATTTCTGTTTTTCGTTCACTGTTTACCTTTGATGTGAGAAATGTAATTATTGTAGAGAACCTGGGAGCTTGTTCTCCGAAGAACGGGTGAAAACCCATCAAGTCACGTTTACTTGTACCTGCTTCCAGCTGTTCATCCTATCCTTCTATTATTGGACAGACTAATGCAAGTGCCCGCACTTTCCTATAAATTGGTCGATCTTGAATCGACGATAGTCTAATTCTGTGGAGCATTATATCAACCAACAAGCCAATCACCAGTCTACAAGTGCAAGACAACCACTAGGCTGAACACTCGCGTCCATGGTACAGCTGCAATAATCTGCACGAAGGGCTTTTCAGTATTGGTACTTCATTTAGTAGAGATTCCATGCAAAAGGTTACCTGCGCCTAACTCTGATTGTGGAAGGAGATAGATCAAAGTTCCTTGTTCATATGCATCATACACATCCGAATTCTACCAGTAGCACTTTTGTTTGATGATCACTGCTACAAAGATTTGGTTCGGTCGGAATGGTTCGAATTCAGCTGGTGGCTATCCATAAACTGCACCATCTTGCATATATGAGTTGTAGATGGGTGAAACGTATGGTGGGTGAGGTTCAAATTACATTGGACCCAACTGTTGGATCGACGAATCACTGCATTCAAAGTCTAGATCGAACTGCATATCTTCAAAGATCTGGGGGCTGACATCAGTTGCTATGCCGTAAAGGTTAAACTATCAAGTGCCAATCACTGCCCGCGTATCTTACGGGAATGGCTCAATGCATATGCAGCACTATATGCCTATCTAGAACCAACCTATAGTATCGGGGATGGTAAAAATAGGTACCCCGCATCCGCATGATTCTAGCGTCTGCGTGAGGGAGCTTTGGCATTATCATATGTATATAAAGTCGGTATCACTGAAATATGTAGACTTGTGATCCGATTCTCAATTCCTAAATTCAATCCCTTAGATCCAAAATGCATCCCCAATACACTCCATATCTTTTCGCGGTCCCCTTTCTCGCCTCCTATCCATTGCCCGTCAATGCAGTCCCAACAAACTTCAACCTAACCGCCATCACCGCCTCAAACAACATCTCTATGTTCCAATGCTGGCAACTTACCGATCCCATTATCTCTAGTGAGCAGCCTGGTTACGGTAGCGAAATGACCTTACAGAATTTGGGCGCGATGGGAAATGCCACTTATGGATATCTGCCCGCCAATTTCCCCGGCGCTGCCCATGTAGCGCCTGCTCCACAGTTTGTTCCCTCTCATATCATTCATTCCTCTCTTCTGCCTCATCCAAAATGTAAAATAAGACAAAATGTAACCGAACAACCAGATACGTGGTTTTTCTCTCCGGAAAAATGGTCATCACCATACCCGAAACAAACCAAACTGCAACTTTTGGGGCAGGCGCAAATGGTATTATTGTGGCAGCGGATACGCAAGATAAGAGTGCGAATGGACATGTGACGGCGTCGTTGGATGAACCGGTTGCGACGGTGCAGATTCCGTTTTTGGGGGGTGTAGCGCCGGGGTATAGAGTTCTACATGATGGGGTTTGTGGGGGGGATGAGCTGGGGTTTAAGTGAAGAAGGGGGAAAGGCGGGGGATGTTGTATCCTGTTGAGAGGGCGTGGGAGGAGGCTGTATTCGAGATAGATAGGGGTTGTAGTAGAGATATACATATTGGGTAAATCCTGTATTGACACTTTCTTTAGAGTTGTTGTGTGTATGAGTAATAAGCTTTGGCTGAATTATCTTCTCATATTTTTTTAAGCGGGAAGCGTATAAACTTCAGTCTTTGGGCGGTTTCATCTCAAACCCCCGATGATCATACTCCCTCAATAGCAAAGCCCTCTCAGTTTTCAGCAGCGTATCAAATATTGGCCTCCTATTATGCTACACATGTTAGCGAGAAAGACCCACTACCTCAGTACTTCTTGACTAGACCCCTTACTATGACCTTCAGAGAGTTCACCATTGTAATGCTTTCGTTTTTTATGCTTATACAATAATACCCAGGTTTCATTATCGAGAGGACTGCTTGAATGACCTGAGGTCATATGAAAACGTAAAGATCACGAAGAAGTATTGATTATCCATTTGGACTAGTCTGCGGTGCAAGTGATCGATATTAGTGGTGCAGAAAGTATCAAATAACTCGAGCAATAATGGATCTGCATTCCCATCGCAGTTTTTAGAGCCTCCATATCAGCCCTCTCTGTTAGACTGTGCCGTTGATTGGCTTGTGCAAAGCAGCGATACTCGATTTCTTTTTGGATTTTTGAAAGAATTGTAGTGAGGAGATACGTGACAAGGATTACTAGACAGAAGCTTCAGGCTTTATTGTGATTTCTAATAGGGAAACACCAGATATTTACGAATATGCCCAAATCATCCTGGAGTATTCCAGGCTGAGCTGAATACTAAACTTGGACAATGCCCCATCGCTCTCTCACAATGAACTATTTCTATCCACAAATTCCTAGTAGTCAAAGAAACAGTCTTCTGGTCCTTTCGAAAAGACAAGAGATATATGCACGGTACTAGCTGTCATGAAGGAAGGACATTTGCGTGAAAGTTCACGTACGAATACAAGTTAGACCTTCTCATCACTCTGCTGAAGCCTTTCTCCTGTCATTTCTCCCGACGCTGGACTGCTTATTCTTTTCTTTTTCCAAGAAAGAAGCTGGATCACGAACCCACAGCATGCGGCTAATCCTGCAGCTGGTATTGCAAACACAAGCGTCCGGCTCAACGCGAACGACAATGCTTGTTTGACACTTTCCACGTACTGGGCTGGTACAAGTGTTCCAAGGTCTACCAGTCCCTTGATTTCTGATGCAGTAATCTTCCCATTTAATCCTGGAATTTCTGCCAATTTGCTTCCAAAGAGGTTAGTGAAGAGGATATTTCCAACAGTAAGGGCTACTACCGGCCCAAGACTATTACAGAAAGATACCAGCGCACTCGCAGTAGCTACGTCCGCTGGTGGAAGTGCTAAAGGCACAGCTGTAAAGGCAATCTGCTGAACTGTTCCGGTTCCCAAAGCGACTATGACTTGATAGCCCACATACTGTGCCTGGCTGCTTGCGATAGTGAGTGTAGATAACAGTCCAGAACCCACGACAGCTAGGCAAGCCCCAATATACATAATTGGGATGTAATGACCATAGGCGGTAATATAAGCACCACTAGCCATTGGCGAAAAAAGTAGCGTCATTACATAAGGTAGAGTGAGACTCCGGATGAAGCCGCGGAATGCCCAAGTACGGACTGAAAGTAGAATGGCAAATAGTGAATCTGTACTGCTATGACCATAGAAATGAAAAGTTGATAAAGGAGGCACAGTAAGGCTGTGAAGTTTCGTAATGCTTGAATCGGGATTGTTGCGCTAAGCGAAACGTTAGGAACGATATCCAAACTCTCAATCTAAACTTACCGATCTTGGAACCGAACCTGGAGATAACTGAAGGCTGCTATTTGAAGGAAAAATCCAAGTATACAACCCCAGACCTTGGAATTAGACCATGAGTATGTGGTACCACCCCATTGAGCTGCGAGAAAAAAGCAGGTTAATGCTGTAATCAGAAGGAGTGTGCCCAAGAAGTCGATTCTCAGAATCTTTTGCTTTATAGTCAGGCTTTTCCCCAGCTCCGATAGTTCTGGCGGCTCAAGGAAAAATACTATCAAAAAGAAGGCAACAAAACCGATAGCTTTTTAAATTTAATGTCAGAACCTCGCAAGAGCTTACAACAGAGATTACTACTTACGCAGGTTCAACCAAAAGCAGAATCGCCAAGTGAGCTTCGAATCTGTGAACAAGCCTCCAAGAAGCGGTCCAGCTGCGGAGGAAACACCATACATACTAGTAACTACTGACACGTATAGATAACGCTTTGCAGGAGGAACAACATTGGTAACGATTGTAAGTGTTCCGCACCAGATTCCTCCTGCAGCTGCACCACAAATCAGGCGCCCAAAATGAAGGCAATTGAATTCGGAGCGGCTGCACTTATGATAGAACCGACTTCAAACCAGAGAATGCTAATCAAGAATGCCCATTTTACTGGAAAGAATGTAAATATCTGTCCATGAGCTGGCTGAAAGGCCATGATTGTCAAAAAAATAAGAGCTGCTGTACCATCCAGTCAAATTGATTGACTTGAAGTCTGTTGCTAATCGAGGGATAGCCGTTGCTGTGATATCATCAGTGTTTGTGCAGAGATGGTATCAGTCATGGCTTACATATGATATAGTTATCGAGAGCAACTACCAAAACGGGAGCCATGATGCCCAATATGAAAAGAAGGAATTTCCATCCGCTTGGATATATCTTCTCTTGTGATGCTGCATCATTTTCAATGACTATGTTTGGTTCGATCTTCTGCGAATTGTAGGCTGGAGTTATGACTTGTTCATCAACTGCAACAGCTTTGGAACTTTCTCTACTAGAGGCGAGCGACTCATTCCAGTCCTCCCTTGAGTTATGCATGCTTGGAGATATTGCAGTTTGTTCCAGAACTCGATCGACGAACCTAGAGCCTCAAGAAACTAGAGTATTCACCGTAGGAGCTTGCTATGCGTAGCTGAATATTAAGATATAAAAGGTTGTCGACCATTTGGGTCCAGAAGAAATGGATGACGGGAGTTGTATAATCTTTTCAAGCCTACATAGGCAGTCAAGCATCGTGCGAGTTATTGCAGGTCGCTGATGGGCTGACATAACCTTGCCCGTGTTATCAAACATATCTATAACATGTTGGTTGGTTTACAGCATGGCGAATGGGGAATGACAAATGGGGAAGGTGACGGGGTAGAGTAACGATTAGAGTTGAAAAGTCTAGCGGTCTAGACTTTGGATTAGGGTTGCAACATTGATAAGGATAGGCTTAAACTAAGCTTCAATGGTCAACCATTGGGCACTTAACTATCTATGGCATGCGTTCTTCTACATTGAATTTGAATTTGACCCAAATAGATAGATACATATATTTTGAGATTGAAAACTTATCTTCAATCAAAAGTTAATACTAGCATGTAAATCGAATGTTTCAGAGCTCTGAAGTACATCATCGTGACGAGGGTTTTGCCCCGTAAGGCTAATAAAGGATCTGAGGTTTAATTCCTTCTCATTTTTTACCGAATGTTCTGAACGCGTTTGATCGAACAATATCAACAAGAAACATTATGATTTATTTTTGCATTCGTTAAGGGCTGTTTCAGAATGCGGATCTGTCATGACAATTCATATTCAGGGTGCTCCAATACAGGGAATTGGTTATTTACCCGCAAAATTGTGCTCTAAGCATGAATTGCATACAAAATGTTAAGTTTCTCTTCATAAAGTCTCACTGTACTTCTTCTTTCAATGGTACCCTTAACAGATCTGGCCATTGCAAGTGCTTCGTCTGTGATTAAGATCATGTCTTTAGTGATTTTAGCAGTGTATGGCACGGGTTTATTCGCCTCCTCAACAACCGGCCATAACGATTCAAGAAAGGTAGCCTTGTCCTCGGATGGGTTTCGCAACTCAACGAGTAAAGCACCCTTGGGGCGGCGCGTTCCAAGAAATAGAACAGCAGTAACTCCTGGATGCGCTCCAATGATACGCTCCATTTGTGTTGGGTAAAACTTTTCTGCCGTGATGAAAGATTGCATGTCATCTGCTCGGCCGCGGAACTGCCATAGTTCAGGATCATCTGCATGTGGAGAGAACAAATCTCCTGTAGGATATACAGGGTTCTCAGGAAAGATAGTGAAGATCGACTGTTTGTATCCGTCAAGACTTTCATTGAGGGTGTATGTTGCTTCGAATAAATCTTCAGATTGGTGGCGGAAGCTCAAATTCTGTGCCGGATGCATACGCATGTATTTCCATATCTTCGGGTTCCAAGGTCCAGTTGGATGGATAGTATGCCAGAACCCTTGCTCGGTTGATCCACAAGTTGTGACGAGCTTCATTTTTGAAGAAATGATATCTCCAGCAGCGATGGTAACATCTCCTCCGGCATAGAAAATGGTTTCACCATTCTGTGAAATGATTTGGAGAGCTTCAGAGTTGGTGGCAAGCTCTTCTATTTGAGGCGGAACTAAGATAAGAGCATCGACTTTCTTGCGTTGGACACAGTCTACGAGCATGCTGACTGTTGGTAGCATGCCCGACAACAGGTAAACCATTGTTGAACCACAGTAAACCGTGAAAAGTAGAGTAACCCATGTAGGACCAGCCTAGAAATACTTAGCAAGAAGTAGAGACATACGTTGAGATATTCTTACATGAGCAGGAGGAAAGGAGCAGATTAGTCTCCCTCCCAACATTAGCCTATCGGTGCTCTCGAATCCTTTCGGGGTATCGAGTCTTCTTTCTTTTACATAGCCCGCAACATACTCATGTGTCCAGATAATTGGTTTCGGAAAGCCAGTGGTACCAGAAGTATGAAGTATTACCAGCGGTTCAGTCTTGACCTCTCGGAAAGATTTCTCAAATGTGAAGTGTGGAAATTTCTCCGAAAATAGCTCTTCAAGTGTAGGTGCTCGCAGAACTTTGTCGTACAGGGCGACGATACTTTTATCAGCAGACTCAGGCCCTTGAGGTATTATAATCTTATTGCAATTGCATTGTTTGATAAAATTCTCATGGGCGATAGCATTAAATCTTGGGGTCATCATTAAAGTCTACAAGAAGTTAGCGATCACCGGATAAAACTCAACCCATAATTCTCAAAACTTACCGAGTATCCTGCCTTGCAATTGCCCAGCAGGATCAGATTTCGTGTCAGGTCATTAGGCCCCATGTAACACAGAGGCTCACAGGTGCTTGAGAATCCAAGAGCACGATGAATCCACTAGGCCATACCATTTACTGCGTTTGCAAGGTCGGCGTATGAGACCGACCGAAAGCCTGCATCGAAGGCCATTGTAGACAATGGTATTTCGGCATACAGTCTCTCTGGGTCGGTCCTTGCGATACGGTCGATCGCGTTTGGGAGGAGTTGCTCCGATCCAACTGCCTGGACAGCATTTTGGAACTTGTTGAGCCTTTCTGTAGCCATGATGAGACTGTAGCGAATTGTCGAATTCAAGATTTTTTTACAATAATGAAGACAGTGGGATGCTTCGAGGGGTAAAGTGAGGGCTGGAGGAGCTGTCAATCCAGTTGGTTTTGTATGCCAGATTTACAAGCCGGTAAGTTTATCGTTCTCACAATCTGAATGGTTCAAATGGTACGACAACCCAACCCGAAACCCAACACCGGGTATTCGACGGTTGAAGCTAGACATCACCTTCAGTTTTAAATGTCATTGAAAATAGACTAGTGGCTTTTGGATCTATCCATCATCTCCAAGTGTCTTGAACCATTACATAAAACATGCCCTATATATACTAGTATCAGCATGGTACCGAGATATATGCAGCTACCCCAGAAAACATGCAACTCCGAAAATCGAATCGCATATCACAGGACGATAAGCAACTGGAGGACTAACCTGGCTTTTTTGCCCGCTGATTTCTAGACTTGCTGAATGCAGCAGCGGATCTTGACTCCTTCGTCTTACTTTTTTTCTCCTTCTATCTGCAAATTAAATGTTTGATTCTCGCCCACCCCGAGTTCTCTCATGCCAGCATAGACAGTTTTGTCGTTTAATTCGTTAACTTACGAGGATCGAAACATGAATGTCCTAATAGAGTAGAAGTGAAGGCTCTGTAGTTAGTGTTATCATAAGGTTGGTCTTAATTAATCGCTGTTCGAATACATTCTGGAACTCTGGAAGTAGTTCCGTAAATTGATCAACCGAGATTGTCATAACTAGTATCTTCTTATTGTCAACTATTCTAGGTTAAAATAATCTTATATCCATGATTCGAGATAGAGTCTATGTGGTACTTGTAAGCTTATCCAGCTAATAGTAAAGTGTAATCCGCATTGCGCAGAGAATTCAAATCGAAAAAGACCAAACAAATACCCTATGGCTATGCATGAAACCCTAGCCATCATAGATTATATCGTAGTATTTCCTCAGCGGACTGCAAGACTCTTGACCGATATCGATGGCTTCTCTTTAAGTTCATCAAGCTCATTAAGCTCATTGAGTTTGTGATGTTCCGTCGGAATTGACGGTTCGAAGTTTGATCACAGCACTCTATTTCGTCTGGCGATCAAATTAGCCAGTCGTTCAACCAAGCAAACATTCGGTCAAACTCTGCTCAACAGGATTTCTAAGAGATCCGGATTCAGTGTTTTTCTCCAATCTCATTCCAATCTTCGCAATTTCGACGAGCGAAGCAAAAGCAGTCCATCAATTGTTCTATGAGACCTCAAAAAGAGTCTCGACTTAATCACTCTTTTCACATTCAATCTCCCACCCCAAACTAGTCAATATGAGGGATTTATGTTTCCATAGAGGTGGAACTGACAGAAAGGTCGCTTGGAATTGTTAATCTTGCAACGACAATTCTTTCAACTTAGGATTATGGCTGAAGTGGATTTGTCGCAGAAGATGAGGTTTTGCTGCAACGCATCACATGGGATGAGTTATTCACTTCTACATTGAGAAGTCATTTACCGGTCCCCTAACATCCCCGTCCTTGAAGTCGGAGAAAGCCAAGTGCTGGTTGGTCTCGGTTTGTTTTGGGCCACATTATCCAACGGCGGCGTCTATTTACTCATACTTCGCAACACAAGTCCGTGTCAAAGCACGAAAGTGAGGCCGTCGACAATTCTCGAGTTCTTTCTGGAAATTCCAGTTCCATATTGGAGGCTGAAGCCATCGTCAAGTCTGCGAGATTTGAGAGTTTGTCATTTCGTTGATGTTTGCGTCCTGGGCAGAGAATGTTGATTATATCGATAGATGTGTTGAACATAAAATTGTGACAAGTGAAGGCGGTGAATTGGCAGAAAAAGACTTGTGATGTAGGTAACTGTTGGTAAGATTATATCAACCTGCCATTGTCAATACTTGAAGTATTCATACTATTTGTTTCCTCATCTTTTCATGTCAAGCAGTTGTCAATGGACAAAAAGCGCGAAGTATGAAATTGGAACATGACGCTGTTCATCTCTTCCACATCATTGTCAAGAGAGAGTTGCAGAATTCAGCAATCCCAAGAACCTTATACAGGGCAAATCAACCAATTCATCCAAAAGATAATGATTTTTTGATGTAACTTACATCTGAGAGCTCCATCGAGAGATAGAGCTGAGGCAGATGATCTTTCGATTTGTGGTGGTTGATGTGAAATCACTTGGATACTTTTCACCCGTCTTGGTGACGGGATATCCTTCAATGCTCCCAAGCACTGTTCCTCAATGTCTTGTTGGCCGGTGTCGGATTTATGACTGACATTCTCGCATAGCATCGGCAAGATGGGGTTTATATGAAGTTGTTGATATTGGTTTCTTGAAGAACAGGAGGCGTCTTGAGGTTTGGCCTGTTATGAGCCTTATCGTTATGATAGGCGTATGCAGTGGGTGGGTGGGGGGGATTCAAACCTTAACCTACCACCACGCCTTTTACTTGACAATCTTCCAATCCACATCTTCCGGACAAATATTTGGAGTCGGCTTGTACCTTCATTGGGATTGGGATCGGGATCGTTTTGACTTGGCAAAAGAGTTATCGCTGCTTTTTTTGTCATGTATTGAACGTTTGTCATCTTTCCGCACTGTGATAGCCCGGGCCATTCACTGTTGCTTCTCCACCAAATGCTTATCGATGACTCCTCAGACCATCTTCCTGGCGTCTCTGGTGTTCTCCACTTTGTAGTATAATAGAGTTCGTTCTCCCCTCGTTTTCTTCACTCCACTGTTCATATCTACACTTCATTCCTTCAACGATTCTCGTCAAAGTTATCAAAATGGGAGAATTAGACACCAAGTTGGGGGAAATTTCCCTTAACGACTCAAACACATATCAAGCAACGCCTTTTGGTAAAGAAATGGCCAAGCACTTCCTTTTCGAACCAGGGTGGAGGAATTTGAATCATGGTATATTCATCAATTCCCAACCCCCCCTGCCCCTCCCCCTTTCCCCGCCTCCAATTCCAATCACCTAGCTTACGAAGTTAGGTTCCTTTGGCACTATTCCTCGTGCCATCCGTGAAAAGCAAAGACAGTATCAAGATGATTCGGAAGCTCGTCCCGACGACTTTGTCCGATATACATACCCTCCAATCCTCGATGAGTCACGAGAAGCATTGGGAAAGATTCTCAATGTTCCAACTAACACTGTGGTCTTCGTACAAAATGCGACTACTGGGGTCAATACTGTATTAAGAAATTTGGTGTGGAATGAGGATGGGAAAGATGAAATTCTCTATTTCTCTACAATATATGGTGCTTGTGGTTTGACGGTATGTACTTCCTAAAACCTTAGTGTAATTCTCTATGACTGCCATCAATTGATAGTTCACAATGCAACATCAAGTCTAACTTTTACTCATGTGATAGATCAGATATGTTTCGGAGGCCAATCGTGGCCTGGTCCAACCCAGACAGATTACCTTCCAATATCCCATCGAGGATGATGAACTCGTTGGACTATTCGAGAAGGCAATTGAAGTCTCCAAAGCAGAAGGCAAACGCCCTCGAGCTGCTGTATTTGATATTGTAGGATCACTTCCTGGATTGAGAGTTCCTTACGAGAAATACATCGAGATCTGCAAAAGGGAAAGCATGTATTCCATCGTTGACGGAGCCCACGGAATCGGTCACGTTTCACTTGATCTATCAAAGCTTGATCCTGATTTCTTCGTCAGCAATTGTCACAAGTGGCTCTTTGTCCCGCGAGGCTGTGCTGTTTTTTACGTTCCAGAACGAAACCAAGATCTAATGAGATCAACCTTACCCACATCACATGGTTTCGTTCCTGAGGGACCTAGGCCATTCAATCCGTTACCGCCAAGCGCTAAGAGCGTGTTTGTTCATCAATTCGAATACGTTGGCACGATTGACAATAGCAGCTATCTCTGCACCGCCGAAGCAATCAAATGGCGCAAGGAAGTTTGTGGTGGTGAAAAAGCCATCATGGATTACTGTAGCCACTTATCGCGAGTAGGTGGTAAAGCGATCGCAAAGATTTTGGGTACCAAGGTTCTGGATAATAGTACCAACACATTGACAGATTGTTGTTTTGTCAATGTATTACTACCACTGGAAATTGGAACATCAAATATCGACGCATTCTTCAAGATCAATGAAGATACCAAAATGCAGGCTTACCAATGGATGATGGAAACATTGATAAAAGAATACAAAACATTCATCGCCATAGCATTCGTGGACAACAAATGGTGGGCTAGATTAAGGTATGTGATAATTCACCTGCTCTTTGATTCGTGATTCATACCTTCGTAAAAGCTTTTCCACATCATATGTTTAAAAGCTCGTGTTCTGCAACAAACTAACAATCCACTCTCTCACAGTGGACAAGTATATCTCGAAATGGAAGATTTTGAGTGGGCTGGCCATGCACTTAAAGAACTGTGCGCACGAGTTGGGGATGGCGAGTATTTGAAGAAGGAAGAATAAACATATTTCTAACCATTCTATGACTTTTTCAGAATTAAAACGGGGGGTTGGATGGTGAAACACCAAAATATTAGTTTGAGCTTTGGTGTGATTTTGGCGTGGTCAGACTCTGAGATCGGTCCCTGTATGCTTCGGTCCCGGATTATCAATTATCTTTTTTTGGCTCTATCTTCAATACTTTTCCAGGAACGCAGAAATACTTGTGATGTTGGTCGCCATCGCTGTCGATGTCGCTGTCGCTAAGTCCAAAATCTTTGATGAACATCTCGACACTTGATTGTACCTTACATTGTCGTTCCGAACAAATCCTAACCTTATACCTAGTATCTACGTAACTACCTGTCTCAAATCCATTTCCTTTCACCCTAAGGCACCTCTTTTACCCGGTCTCTCTCCCAAATAAAATTTCACAACACCTCACAACGCATCACGATATGTCAATATCACAATATCACCAAAGCACCTCAGTCGAAACTTTGCCTTTCACTTCCCTATATAGTATCACGCCCCACTCAATTGTCCCAA